TGAGCTTGTCAGTTTTCCTCAAATTACTCGGAAAAAATAAAACTAAAATAGGAAGCATTAAGAATTGGGGGCTGGAGATTTAGCTCAGCGTCATAAGCGCCTGCCTTGCAAGCAGGCAGTCGTGAGTTTGATCCTCGGTACCGATAAAAAGGAAAAAGACAAAAAAAAAAAAAAAAAAAAAAAGAATTAACTTGAAAGCTCAAATCATTGCCCAACTGCATTTTTTACTTAATCATACTCAGGACTCAGCAAATGCATTGGCCTTGGGTGAATTCATTGTGGATTCACAAACTTAATTTTCTTTCCATTTCAGTGGGAGTGTAGAGTTGATTTGCCGACGGTTTGACCAGACAGCAAAGCAAGTGTGGAAGTAACCAACAGGCCAGGTGTTCAGAGGCTGTGTGTTGGGTCAGCTGCCTTCCCCTCTGCTTCCACTGCTCCGGGGAAGTGCAGCTCCCTAGATGTGAGCGCACAGAGGGTCCTGCCCCAGATCCCCAGCCCTTCCCCTGACCCACGGTCCCATGGCCCCTGGCTCCTTGCACTGGACAAGATGCTGGGCACAGCGACTGTCACTTGCCACTGCTTGCTTCTAGGCCAAAGCTCAGTGTGGCACCCTGTCAGTTTCCCTGGGGACTTCCTGGGTTTGTTTGTTTTTTTTAAATTAATGGTACATACCGAGTTCTATCCAAAGGACCAGGCTAGTATAAACTGCCCCAGTGCTGGGGAAGAGACCCAAGGAATAGGTGAGCAGGACTCCACTGTGGGACTCCACTGAGGACCGGTGATGGGCTCTTCTCTGATGTCTTGAAAATACAAATTCCAGTTTCTGGGCAATTAAAAAAAAATCCTATCTCCTTATTTATTTAGGCACTGGGGACCTTGTACAGGCTAAGCCCACCCTGGACACCTCCCTGTGCCTGTGGTCCCCCCTCCCCATTTTAAAGGAAATAGTACATGCTGTAGGTAATTCGGAGACTATGAGAAACCACCAGAAAGAGAACCACCCATCGTTCTGCCCCTCAAGGTGGTCACTCGCCAGTGTTTAGGTGTGTGTTCCTCCAGCCCAGGGCCCTGTGTACCCCCGAGACACACAGTCATGTTGAGATCACCACATGCACTACAGTTTCCACTTGCATTTCCCTCTGAATGTCTGTGAGTGTTTCTTGTATATTTCATGGTCCAGAAGCACTGTTGTATTTCCAGACTGAAAGTGGACTACAAGGTCCACTACAGGTCTCAGTGATTTACCAAGAGAGGGGGGAAGGTATCTGAGATGAGCTCGGCTGCCACGATCCCTTCCCCGTAAGAAAAACCTAAGTCACGCCTGGGTCCTGGAATATACAGGAGCTGAGGAAAGCGGAGTTCTGTGTTCTCACCTGAGAGTTAGGAGAGGTGCGGAGACAGCTTCGTCAGCAGTGCATCCTTCTGGTCCCCAACTTCGTGCCTCAGGTGGGGCAATGCCCCTGTGCCCCGGAGTCTGGGCAGGAGTGCCCGCATCAGGGCGCCCATTGATGCTGGGTCCCTGCTTCTCTGAGGCCCATGAACCTCCTAAGGGAAACAAGGCAGCTTGCTCTAGTCCCTGGTGGTCGTGTTTATTGGCCTGCCAGCACTTCCATGTGAAGCTGGTTATCCTGCGGCTTGTAGCACAGCGTTCTGCTATCAGGACTTAGATCTGTTCCCGGTTCACCCTTTGCTTTTGAAGCTATTAAGTGGTGTCTTTGGATATCGATAAAAATCCTAGCCAACCTACAGTCTTTCCCCATGACTGTTTTTGCTTTTGTCTTTGTTTAGAAAGGGCATGTTCCAAGAATAATGAGAAATTTGTTGTTTTTTCCCTAATTCCTTTATGATTTTTTTTTTCTGCACCAGGGATTGAATTTACAGCCTCTCATTTGCCAGGCAGGTGCTTACATCCTTTATGAATTTTTGCATCTAAATTTTTAGTTTATCAGTCCTAGGGTCTGTTTTGATGTGTAGAACCATACTTTGGTTTTTAAATCTCAGAATTCTTATGCAGTTATTTCGAGAACATTTACCAGATAGCTCATTTTTTCCTCCCTGGTTTCCTGTGTGGGTTTTACAGTCCCCATTGGCTCTCAGGTCTATTTCTGAGCTGTTTTGTTCCATTAACCTGTGTTCTGGCCTCGGCCATTGTGTGCCTGGGTCTGATCGTGCACCCCCCACTTGGTGTTATTCTTCCATGGCATGGTATTCATGGCTCTTTTTACTGGTTTACTTTGCTCTATCACAGTCAGCACACTTTTTCCGAAAGGGCCGGGGTGAACATTTCGGGCTTTGGCATCACTGGGGCAGTTTTGCCCTTGTTGCACAAGGCAGCCACGGAAGAGTGATCAGAAAGGACACTACTTCTAATAAAATGCTGTGTCCAAAACAGGCTCACTGAGATTTATCCTGAGACTGCAGTTTGCCAACTTCTAAAGCAGGTGCAGCCTAGAATCATTTCCTCAAATCATTCCAACCTCTCAGCTACTCTTGAACACATTTAAACCCTGTACATAGTATGTTACATGTAAAGTCACATATGTATGCATCAAATATCATGTAGGTTTGGTACCTGTGTATTACAGCCGTCAATATGTCCGTAATGTTACCGTGCATGTTATCTAAAACTACTCGCACACTGTGTCATATGTGTGAATATGCATATAATGTGCGTGTGTGTTACATACATAGAGGGGGCTCAAAATGACATCATACTTAGCAAAAGATTTGAGAAAAACACCACATCTTTATCCCACAATCCCTTCCCATCGGACCTCAGTGTTCTGGTTCTGCCCAGGTGGACCTCGTGGATTTCTGGTGAGCTTTAACCCTTGCCATGGCTTCCAGTCCAGTCTCCATGGAGAGGGGGCTCCACGCCCACTCGCCAATTTGTAGTTTGCTAGAAGAACACGGGATCTGGAGCTGGAAGTCACAGCCGTCTGCAGGGACAAGGCCCACTGGGAGGGGCAGAAGAAAGCCACCCCGCTACCCATCTCCCGTCTTTGTTTGCTCCCCCAGGGCCCTCCCCCAAAATGGGATGGGCCTGCAGCTCTGTGTGCAGCCACACGCGAATCTGGGTCCATGCCGAGCCCTTCTGCTCTCCTCATCTATCTTTCCTTTCATACCTGTTTAGTTGTCCCCTGCGCGTGGAGAATCTGTCCTGTTCCCCTGTGGATGGATGGATACAGTGAGGGCCTGGATTGCTCCGTAGCCCTGGATCCCAGCCACTTACACGCTGCCCGAGGGAGTGTCACTGCTTGCTTTGGAACCCTTTGGAACTCTCCTCTGCTGTGCCATCACTCTGCTTGTCCAGAGGAAAGCGTCTCCTTCCTGCGGCACGAAGGGGAAGCCTGGAAAAGCTGCTTATTTTGGACCGAACCCTCTAGAGCGCTGTCAGACAGGCTTCTTTACCTGTGGCAGCAGACTGGTCCTCAGTGTAAGTCAACCAGAGAGACAGCAGGGTTTGCTTGGAGAAGTCTGCTGCCACTACCCTCCCAAGGGCATACCTGGCTGCCTCGAAGGCTCCCCAGCCCTCATCCCTTTCCCAGGACTTCGCTTAGTGACTGTTTTCTTCTCCAGGTCTCCACCTTGTAGAGCCAAGTGGAAGCCAGCACTGTGATTGTTTCTTAACTTCGCATCTCTCCAATCCATGCCAAGGTCCAGGGTACTGAGAGTGAGACACTTAGAAGATGAGCAGCACTGACTTAAGCGCCTTGAGTTTTTTTTGAGATCAGGTCTCACTCTGTATTCTGGGCTGGCCTTGAACTCTGTGTAGCCCAGGTGATCCTCCTGCCTCAGCCTGCAGTGCTGGGACTATAGGTGTGCGCCATCATGCCCAGTTTAACTTGACTTCAGGCTGCCTCCTATCCAGAATATAGTGATTCAGTGTAACACTCTGGGCCAGGTCCAGCTGAGGGCAGTCAGATCTGAGTGCTGGCTGCAGAGCCTGGCCTCACATCTGCTGGTTTCTGGCTGCCTCTCCGGCCTCCTGTCTCTCTGCAGGTCTTGTTGATAGCACAGAGCAGCCGACGTGCTCCATCACGGGGCTCCTTCAGCTTGAGTTCTGAATGTGGCTTGTGCTTCAGACAGGTTTGCTGTTTACAGGGACTCTGGTGCGCCCCATGAGCACCAGGCTGCCGTTCCTTGCATAGCCGCCCTCCCTGCGCAAGGTCTGTGTGTCTGCGGTCTGGACAGGTGTGAAGACATTCGGGGTGAAACATGCCCTGCTCAGCACCGTTAGCAGCCGTTCACACTGCACGCAGTGTCAGAGGCCCCCAGAGGACACACACGTGTGGGGTCTCACGACTACCACGTTTCCTAGAGGGACGTGGGTCCCCAGGGCACGGGGAGCCACCGGTGTCCGGGAGCCCTTTGCCCGCTGACTCTGATCCCAGTCCCGAGAGGTGATTCTCTGGAAAGGCAGGCAGGGACCCAGCCCACTGGGAATAAACAGCTTTAACTTTCCACATTGGTCTCTAAGCTGTCAGCTTATTCATGAACTGGAACAGGGTGTTCAGGAGTTCTGCAGCAGATTTTTGTGGTTTGTTTTTTCCACAAACAAGAGCTTCTCCTCCCCACCCCCCATCGCCTGCCACTTTTTTTATCTCACTGCCCAGATGCACCCATTCATTTTGATAGCGGCCCAATCAAAATATAACTAGGACCAAATCGGGCTCCAGAAATACCATGTATATGTCTGAAACTTCTGCCTTTGTCCTCGCCTTGCCTTCTCCCGATGGTTCACGTTGTCCAGGCTGCTTGCTTTTTCATAAACTGTACCACTGAGGACCCTGTCCCCAAATCCAGGCTAGGATGGGATAAACACCTCCGTGCCCTAAGTCCCTGCCCTCAGAGTCCGATTCAGCGCTGAGGCTTGAGCCAGGTCCTTTCTAGACTCTGAAGGAAAGCAGTTTCCTGCGTGTGTCCCCACCAGTGGGGGCAGTGCTGGATGTCTCCGGGGGCCCCCAGTTAACAGCGTGTCATTGGATCTGTTCCAGAGTTCCCTGAAGAGAAGAGGCAGCCGGGAAATGTACAAAGAGAAGAAGGTCTTCATCCAGGTAAGCGAGGCTTTCATGCCTGGGTCACTGCTCCTGAAGAAGAAGCACTTGCAGTGGGAATTTTAGCAACAAGTGTTAGCTTTGCCTTCAAAGCATCCAGAAAAACATTCATGACTCCATGGGTGAGCCTTTTCCCAAAGCCACAACTTCTTCCTCTTGTCTGTTTCTCTGTCATGTGTGAAAGGTTTCTCCATGAAAAACAAACTGGCTTTGTGGGAAATGTAAGGAGTGCAGGTCTGGGATCAGGCAGGACCCCTCAGGCCAACCCCCAAGGCCCTCAGGCAGTAAGATAGCACAGCCCCAGGAGAGCTAGGTCCTCCACAGGCTGTTGGAGTTTTTTGTTCTGTTTTGGATTTGGGGGTTTGTGTGTGCACACGTGCCTGTGTTTAATGTGCAAGTTGAACACTACCTTAAATTGTTCTGATGGGAAGTAACATATTGCAGCGGGGGGAAAGGCAGGAAAAGCTCAGTCCTTTTTGTGCACACAGGGTGTTCCTTCAAAGCCATTTTGACTTTTCTGCAAAGGTATTTTGCTGGATTTCTTTCTCTTTTTTAATTGCTGCTAGTTTCAGGTGTGGGGGGAACAAAGGTGTTATTATCAGCTTCCTGAGCTCTGAGCGCCCTCGCAGTAATGAGATAGATGCCCGAGTCAGGGTGCACAGGAGGCCAAAAGCACCCCATCCCTAGGCCCACAGGCCTTGGCTTCCTCTGATTCCCTCCAAACTCACTGTCCCCAGAATGTCGTCTGAGGAGGACAGGGCAGTGTGAGCAGTGGGAATGCACCAACGAAATGTCTCACCCACCCTCTGCTCCTCAGACCTCACCTGGGGTCCTGACGCTCTGTGCCGGCCTCTTCCACCCTCCTAGGCCTAGAGCAGGTTTCTATTTTCCTGGCTCTTGAGCAGCCAAGAGCTTTTCCTACAAGGGTGATTGCAGCCAGGTGTGCTGCGGGGAGCAGTATTTGCCTGGCAGTGAGCCCTGTAACCTAGGAACTGCTGTGCTGCTGGCTAGGTGCAGGCACGGGGGCCGGGTGTGGAGTCCTCTGCCTGCCTGCAGGGTGATTGAGAAAGGAGTTTCTGTTCAGCAGCAAGCGGGAACGGAGTGCCTTGGGAACTGCAGGCTGCCCACCAAAACCCAAAGGAGGCTGGCGCCCCGGTGCAAGGTAGGCACGTGGCCGTCAGCGCTGGGGTGCTGGCTACGCAGCGGCCTTGCAAGCCAAAGAATATATAGTGGCAGTGATATATTTCTGCTGCTTGACAAGGCCCTTCTGGCTGGAGGTGATGGTGCTGGCCCTGTGTGTCTGCCCCTTGTCATGCTTGCCTCTCTTTGTGCATCGGGAATCGGTTCCTGTGAAGAGTTGTCACACAGCCCTCCCAGAGCTGTCTGGAGGCTCTTATACCCTACACTTAGGCCTCTGCCTGGACCTCCTCTGGCATCGGGGCAGGTTCCAAAGTCTATTTGGTTTTTTGAGACAGGGTCTCACTGTGTAGTTTAGGCCAGCCTTGAACTCTCTTTGTCACCCAGGCTGGCCTCAGATTCGTTGTAATCCTCCCGCCTCAGCCTCTTTGGCAGTGTGATAAGAGGTGTGAGCTCTGGCTGGCTAGTTTCCAGAGTCTTTGGTTACGCCATGGGGCAGCTGTCCAGCTTTCTGCTAGCTGAGTCGCTGCTGTGATTCCCCCCTTTTCTTGGGAGTGAATAGGCCAGACTCAGCTCCTTTAGGGCCCAGGCACAGTGGCCCTCAGGGAGGGGTCCGCCCCAGCCCCACACATGCTCCCTGAGGTCCCCAGCCGCGCTTCAACCCTGGTGGTGGCTGCATAGTGCATGCACAGGTGTGAGTAGCAGTGACATATTCTCACTTGTCCCTGCTGATCCTGCTCCCCACGTAGCTTCTTTCTTTAGGGAACCAGAAGACTGTGGACTTCTTACCACTCTCAGGTAATCTGTGACTCTGTCACTTCCCAGGTGCATGTGGAGCTGTGTGCTTCTGCCAGCCTCAGCCTGGCCTCTAGGAGACAGGAATGATGCTGGTGGTAGTCAGGCTTTTGGGGTGCAGGTGCACAGGTCAGGTCCTGTCAAGAGGCAGGGTGTTTGGAGGAACACTGTGCTACCCTGCAGTGTCCCGGTCCTCTCAGAGTCCCTCTTCCCTAGTTCTGCCAGTCTGGTCTCCTGGTTCCAAGCAAGAGCTTGGCCCTGCCCCTGCCTGTACCTTCTGGGCGGCCTCCACTGCATCACTGCTTCAGGCTGGTCACGGCAGGGCTCCCTGCAGCCTGATGGCCTGCTGCCCGGACTTCTCTACTTTGGAGGCAAATGGGCCCACAGGTGATCGTGGCCAATGCACCAATACTGCCTGCTGGCGCTGGAGGGTCCCAAACGAATTCATTTACAAAATCCCTGCCACCTGTCTTGGCTGAGCTGCATCTATCTCAGCTTCCTCCGACCTCCATTCCTTCACTGGAACCGCAGAGACCCATCGTGTATTTGGATTCCTTGCACATCTTTGTTTTAAAACAAGTTGGAAGGGTGCTTTTGATTGTGCTACTTTAGAAAGTCCTGGGAAACAGCATAGTAGGCTCAAGCGCACAGTAAACATTTGTTGCAAGAACGGGTGAAGGACCCATGACCAAGTGTGCGCTTCTTCAGTATTAGGGGTACACAAAGTGTGTGCCTTTTACACTCAGATGGTCTCTGTTGGCCTTTACCTGAAAAGGTTGCTGCCCTAGCCTCAGGGGTAAATGTTTTGCCCAGCAGTTGAGTAGGGCCAGCACCCTGTGTTCCAGATTCTCCCAGAAAGCCGTATGGTTGCCTAACCAAATCCAAACCAGCCCTGCGTGTGAGGAGTGACATTTTTGGATTATTCCTCACACACCGAGGACAATGAAAGAGTCACTGACTTCTTTCTCCAGTGTTGACTGCATTCAGACAAAGAAGCCTGGTTACAGGGCAGTGGGCTTGGGGATTCACTGTCACAACTGGGTGGGAGTCCAGTGACCTACCCATTGGCCTGAGGTCCAGTGAGGATCTTGATTTAGATACCAGGAAGCAGGTTCCCCAAGACCCTAGATGATGGGGAGCAGAGCTGGGGTGCTGTGCAGTGTGTCTGCCCCAAGCCTGCCAGGGGTCGCCAGTGGGGACATTGTCCTTCGCAGCAGTCATGGGGCACACTGTTCACTTTGCCACAGCCGCGTGCTTGGTCAAGGCTTTCTCTCGATTCTTCTGTGCTGTGTCTTTCCACTCCTTGGTTATGCACTGAGGGTGGAGAGTTGCCTGGCAGGTGCTGGGTCCTCCTCTCCCTCAGGGTCAGCTTGCTCCAGGGTGCCGAGTCTCTGAGCCCCTGGTGACCGTTTCCCTGTAGTGGTGATACCTTCGCTACTTCTTCATGCCTCCTGCCAACCTTGTGGGATTGTGACAGAGGAGTGACCTGCAAAGTGGCTGCTGCTCCGTCCCCACTCCCTGAGCTTTCTAAGGCCAGGACAGAGTCCACACTGAGTCAGGCCTGAAGACTGTTAGGAGGCAGTGCTGACTGCCTCCCTTGGCCCTGAAAGCACCTTCTCTCCTCCACCAGCGACATGGCCTGCCTTGGGGACCCTCCCAGTCCCTGTGTTAAGGTGGTCCCCCACCTTAACCCCGCTTTGGGCTTTTGCCTAGGAGCACTCCTCCATCCAGTGCATGGTTCCTGCCTCAGGCCTTGAGTTTACTGGCTGTGTCACAGCAGCTGGGGAAGGGGAACAGCACCAAAGGCTCTCGGGCCCTTGCTGCGAGAGACTGGTGGGGCCGAGTATCCTGCTTCGTAGTACCGGCAAGGCTCCTTGCCAGCATTCAGGGCTGACCTGGCACTGGCTTCCAAAGCCCCCCCCCCCCCCACTTGTGGTGTTGTCTCCGTGTCCTCTTGGTGATGCCTGGTCTTGGGGACCTGCACCATTGCTGGGTGGCGGGGCTCAGACTGGGAGCTGCCAGGCCTCCTGTCCCTGTCCCAGTGGTACCCTGGAGGAATGGCCCTGACCAGTGGCTGCACCAGGCTTGGCCAAGGAGTGCTGGTGTCTCTAGTGGGTGCTGGTGCTGAGCCAGTTTGGGTCCGCACTGTCACTCAGGGCCACCACATTCCCCGCAGGTGTTGGGTTTCATTTCATGGTCTCCTCCTCCGTATGTAACCTGTCTGGTGGCTTTCATGTGCACGCTGTTTTCTGAAACTAATCTCTTGGTCTCTCATGTTTCCCTGGTAAAGCACCACGCGGCAGGCTTTTCCCAGGTCCCCTCCACAGGGCCCCTGGTTGCCCCAGTCTGTTGGACTGTCATCCCTGTGTAACTTTGCAACAGTGCAAGATTGGTGTTTGCATTTCTGTGCGTGTGCTGGGGGCGAGGTGTGAGGGGAATGGCAGAAACACAAGCATTTGGTTTTCAAGTAACACGTCTCCCGGGCTGTTCTTTCCTGGCAGGATGACAGTGCCGACCTGAAGTGCCAGCTTCAGTTTGCCAAAGAGGAGGCCTCCCTGATGCGCAAGAAGATGGCCAAGCTGGACAGGGAGAAGGATGAGCTGGAGCAAGAGCTGCAGAAGTACAAGTCCCTGTACGGGGATGTGGACAGCCCCCTGCCCATGGGGGAGGCTGGCGGGCCCCCCAGCACTCGTGAGGCTGAGCTGAAGCTGCGGCTCAAGCTGGTGGAGGAGGAAGCCAACATCCTGGGTCGCAAGATCGTGGAGCTGGAGGTAGAGAACCGGGGCCTCAAGGCGGAGATGGAGGACATGCGGGTCCAGCAGGAGCAGGAGGGAGCTGGCCGGGACCTCGTGCCCAGCGTCCCGACCTCACCCTTTGGGGACTCCCTGGAGTCCTGCTCTGAGCTGCGCCGGCACCTGCAGTTTGTGGAGGAGGAGGCCACGATGCTGCGCAGGTCCATCTCCGAGATTGAGGCCCACAACCAGCAGCTGACCCACGAGCTGAGCAAGTTCAAGTTTGAGCCCTGCCAAGACCCAGGGTGGCTCAGGGATGGCACAGGGAAGTGCGGCACCGCCCCACTGCAGGAAGAGTTGCGCTCAGCCAGGCTGCAAATCAGCGAGCTGAGCGGGAAGGTGCTCAAGCTGCAGAATGAGAACCGGGCGCTGCTGTCTGACGCCCACCTCGAGCTGCGGGCCCCAAGTCCCCGAGACAGCGATGTTGAGAGTGACGCAGGCCGGAAGGAGAGCGATGCAGAGGATGGCCGCCCCGGCCAGCCCAAGCGGGAGGGCCCAGTCGGTGGGGAGAGCGACTCAGATGAGATGTTCGAGAAGACGTCGTCAGGCTTTGGGAGTGGGAAACCATCGGAGGCTAACGAGCCCTGCCTGGCAGGGCTGAGGACGCCAGAGGACACAGAACGCCTGGTGACCCTGAAGCATGAGGCGCAGCGGCTGGAGCGCACCGTAGAGCACCTTATCACCGACACCGACAGCTTCCTGCGGGACTCACCAGGGGTGCAGGGTGAGGGTGAGAGGGATGGGGGGGGCCAGGAGGAGCCCCCCCTGCTGGGGTCCATCAACCGGAAGATGAAGGCCTTCCGGAAGGAGCTGCAGGCCTTCCTGGAACAGATGGCCCACCTGGGGGATGGCCTGTCACCCCAGCCCCACCTCACAGAATCGACCAGCTTCCTGTCCAGCGTGACCTCCGTGTCCCGGGACTCCCCCGTTGGGAACCTGGGGAAGGAGCTGGGCCTTGACCTGCAGGTAAGGGGGCTCCTGGCCGTGCCTCCCTGCTCCGCCCCACTCTTCCTCCTCCTCGCTGGCCTGGCTGCTCTGGGGCTCTCGCTGCTCACAGCTGCCTGGCTCTGATCTCAGACCTGCATTGTACTAAAGCCTCCGGTGCCAACCAAATCCTTGCTCTTGATTGGGTTCCCGTTTTGCTTTTGCGTTCTCTTTTATTTCACGTTTCTTCCTCCATCCTCCTGTGTCGTTTCTAACCATGCCGCTGCTTGGTGGCTTTACGGCCCTCTTGAGACACAAAGCTTGGCCTGCTGTGGCCCCAGGGATCTGCATGGCCTGACCTGGCCACAAACAATCAGCCGCCCAGCGAAGAAGCAATGAGGCACATAAAGACACGGTGCCCACTCCACACAGTCAGGCTGGGCAGCAGACTGTAGGGCCCGAGGGGTGCAGTGTAGCTCGGAATGGCCCTAAAGGGCCTGGGTCGCCCACTGCCCTTGGAGATTAGGCAGAGTGGGGACAGGAGCCCTTCCGAGGGAGAGCAAGAAGCCCGTTTTGCTGGAAAGTCGCTGCTGCCACCACCCGGACTCCTAGGGCCATGCCCTGGCCTGGCCCCGGGCACATGGCCCACTGTGCCGATGGGGCTTGCACTGCTCAACCCGCACGTAAGGAAGGAAGAGCCCTGTCCTCATGTCGTACGTGGTGTCTGCTTGGGGTTTGGTGTGACCCTTGTCCTCCGTTGCATGTACCCTGTCGCCCCATCTGCACTCTTCTCTTCTTCCTCTCTGCTCCAGCTGTTCCACACATCTGCGTCTGTCTTTGCTCTCCTGCAGCCGTGTTCAAGCTGGTTTCTCTGCACGCTTTTCTCATCTGATAGTTTTTTCTAGTTGTCTACTTTGTCCATTTTTGTGTTCTTAACCCCAGCCCCAGCCCCTAGCCTCTTGTCTTTTGTTTTTTTTGTTTAAAATTAAAATAAAAAATAAAAAGAACCAAATTCCCTCACTACACATCACAGTCCAGAGCGAGAGACCAGCCGGAGTGGCAGCTGGGGCCAGGCCCTGGTGAGGAGCGTGATGGCCTGCGCCTTCGCACCGCACGGGAGCTGCACCGCCGGGCCGACGGGGATGCCGGGAGCCACCAGCGCGGGGGCCAGAGCTGCCCCAGCCCCGAGGTCAGTGAGCTGGCACCCTGTGTGCTGTGCAGGGGCTCGGGAGCAGGGCAGAGGACATGGCGCCAGGGGCACATGCCTGCCAGGCATGTGCAGTGTACCCATGTACCCATGGAGGTGTGAGTAGGTGTGTGGGATGGATCTGTGAGGAAAGCCAGGCAGATTTCTTTTTTTTGTTGCTCAGAAGAAATAGTCTTCCTCGGTCCTTGATCACCTGTGTCTCATGTGACCCTCCCTGTGGTCCCTGGGGACACTGCTGTAGTCTGGTGGCACAGTCAGGGATATCCACGCCCACCTGTGACCTGGGCAGCCCAGGGTGCACAGCCTCATAGAGGGGAGTGCTGAGACAGAAATGACCCCACCCGGATCAGATTAGTATCCCCGAGGAGCTGGCCCTAGGTGCCACCTGCTCATCACTCAGGTGTGACAGGGCAGGAGCAGCAGGCTGTCCTGAGAGAGGGATGCAGTCCCGTCAGCACTCAGTGCCAGAGCATGGGGTGAGGGACAGGTGGGGACTGTCACAGCCGAAGGGGACAGGTGCTCGCCCTGCAGCAGAGCCAGGCAGATGGGTTAGGAGGTGAAGCCCCCAACCTGCAGAGTGGGCGGGGGGTAGCATGGGGCTGCCGCCCTGCCAGGAGAGCTACACGGCTGTAACCTGGGGCTGTCCCTCTGCTGAGAGCGTGTCACTCTCTGCCTTTGTAATGATGGCATGTGCATGAGAGCATACAGTTCACTGTGGAAAGCTCCAGGAAGGACTTCGTGCAGCCCCCTCATCCTTGGTACCCGGAGAGGCAGGCCCACCCCGGCAGGGTGGCAGCTGAGTCCCTGCCGAAAGGGAAGCACATGCTCCCAGAGATGTGACCAGAGAGGTCCTGCACGGCCCAGTCCTGAGCGTGCTGGCCCTGTCTCCAGGGAGCAGGCAGGACCTGCGAGGGCAGCCACAGCGTCCAGGGTCTCGGGACACGGAATCGGACACCCGTGGTCGGACACTCGTCATCTCCATTGCGCTCTTGCTCCAGAATTGCCAGTCAGGTGGTCCTCGGTTGACACCAAAAGCAAAACGGAAGAGCAGAGATCTGCGGAACCTTCAGCTGAGCAAGACGTCGCCTCCTGACGGGGGAATCAACCTCAGAGAAGCCCCTTTGCTCACCTGCCAGTGTCTTCTCTAGGATGCAAGTCGCATTCAGGAGGACACACACTGCCCGTGGCATGTGTGGCTGTGTCCAGGAAGGAGACCTCAGGGAGACGTGTTTCCCAGCTGTGGTGAGTGCTGCACCCTGAGCTCCAGGCAGCAGCGACAGTGGAGACAGTGGAGCCGCCGGGCTGCAGCTCCATTCCTTAGTCTCTGGCCCTCAGTCTCCGGCAGGTGATCCCAGCCGCAAGGCAGGACAGAAAACAGCACCCACGCTGGCCTGGCCTGGCTGAAGGCTATGGAACCAGGAAAGACCTAAAAAGCATCAAGTGTGTGGAAAATGGGGTGGACGTGGGGACAGTGGTCCTGGAGGGGCCGGCATCAGCGGCATAAACAGAGAAGACACTGAACAGGAACAGTTTCTCGGTGTGCGTTTGTGAACTGCCTTTCGAGGTTTCAGCCTTGAAAGTTATTTTTCGTGACAGGAGATAAAAGACAAATCATTTTGGAAGACTGAGGCATAGCGACCAACTTAACACAATGACTGCTACAATGCTAACACCAGCAGCAACATGGATAGCAAACACCGTGAGGTGGTGGAGAGAAAGGGAAGGCCTGCCGTTCCACGTGACCCATTTCCAGTCTGCTGACCCGAGGCCAGCCCTCCCCAGCCCTGGGCGGGGAAAGTGTACCCAAGGCCAGCTTTCTCCAGACAGCCGGGACTGCGGCCCTTGCCTGCCCATCCCTGCACCTGTGCAGAAATCGGCTGCTTAAAAAGTAAACTGGACACCCAGGACAAGTGTTCCCGGTGCTGCCCCTCCCTAGCTGCTGGCACGATGCCCACGCTGTGCCCGTGTTTGCCTGCAGTCCCTTGAGATCAGCTGAGAGGTTCACATTTGTCCGGAGCAAGCTGCGTTCGAGTATTTCATGAGGAATGCACAGGCACCTTAAAAATAGTTCCAAGAGGCAGCCCAGTATGGATCCTGGTCAGATTTCACAAAGACTCAAAGCTAAGCCAGGGTCCAGAAGGTTGGGTTTCTGCATCAGAGATCTCTGTTCCTGGCACTGTGTTTCATCCCTAACCACAGAAGCACATAGACCTCTGCCGGCCCTTGAAACCCCCATGGTGCGAACGCCAGGCATTCATTCACACATGTGACTCACCTGTGTCGCTTTTGAAGGAGGTGGTGGTGTCCCTGGCCAGGATGAGGTGGAACGGACCAGTAAGGGAGCCTCAGTAGAACAGGGATTGTGGGGCCCCTCCTCAGTGTCCTAGCCGGGCAATACAGTGATCACTGCACATTGCTCTGAGCTTGAGAGAGTAGCCTGGTCTTCAAGGCCAGAAGTCAGGAGCCACCTTTTCTGGCGAGGTTCAGGGCCTGGGCAGTGTTGGGCCGCAGCCTCAGGGGTGTGGGCAGGGGGTTCTGGGGTGTAAAGACAGCATCCTGACAGCCAGGAGGTGGGGGTGGTGTTTGGTGACATAACTGCTTTTGCAAACGGGCTGGGTAGACAGGTATGTAGTACAGTCAGCCTCTCAGGTAAGTTGGGGGCAGTGTTCACTGTCACATCATGAGGGATGTGGTGGAGAGGGGAAGTGTGTATTGCAGTGTCCCCTGGTGTGTGGGGTTGTGGCGGTTGTGTGGCAGCGGAGTCATTCAAGACCAGACCTTTTGTTGCTGTGTGTCTGTGTCGTGTTCATTGTAACACTGGAGTGACGCGGGCATCCTGGTGAGTGAGGGGCGGCTGGTTTTACTTTTTACTCCTGTGTTTAAAATGCAGACCCCACAGCACACCGAGGGTCTGGGAGAGCCACAGCTAGCTCTGGGGCTCCGTAGGGCGCTGGGATCCCTCCGTAGGGCCAGACAGCCTCATGAAAGCTGACACCGTGGAACTTTGTCTCACGCACAGAATGAGTGAAACATCGCAGTTTCCTGCAGTCTCCGTGTATAAAGTGGAGGCAGAACCTAAGTGGGTATTGGTGTGAGATTGTGTGTTCCATCTCTGGTACCAAACAAACATTAATGGATTTTGTGTTTAGACTTGGGTCCACTCCCGAGGCCTCTCATTTGCATATACAAATGATCCAGACCCTTCCAGTTGCTATCATTTTAGTTAAGGGATCTGCAGCCTCTGTGTAGAAACTAAATTAGTTGCTCTTTGCTTTTCTTGAACAGTGAGCTTACGGAACCTCTGCTTTGACGACTGTTGATAGAAAACTTTGACTGGTCCCTATTGCAGTAAATGTGGAGGCTTTCTGAAGTTTGTATCTGTAGAGTAATGTGTAACCGAAAAGCAAAGCTGAAGGACCCCGAAAACGTTCAGCAAAAGGTGCCCAGCCTGCAGGTAGCCCTGGGCAGGGTAGGCAGTGTGATTCGTGTCCTCGCTCAGTGCCTGGCTCACTCAATATCTGCTGAATGAAATGCGGCATGAAACACAGAACATCCTTTCATCACAGAGCACAGGGCAGGGAGACCTCTGAAGCCTGGGATTTATGCAGAATTGAAGATATGGGCCATCCCTGGCTATTGGGGTACAGTAGAGGTGGTGGCAGCATTGATAACCAGAAATCCAAGACTTTGGGGCATCAAGGGACAGGAGACAGGGACGTGGGCCCAGTGCTGATGGGGAAGGACAGTGATAAACAGGAGAGACATTTGCCACTGACTGTGGTTCAGCAGAGTGGCACCAGGACTCTGGAGGAAGGGAAGGACCCCAGCAGTCCTCGTAGTCCTCGTGACTTCTGGCTTTGTGTTGGACACCAGCTGGACCTGGGAGGCCCTAGGACAGGACCTCATGTTACACAGCTGCCTTACCCACACCCAAAGTGGGGTGTGTCCTCAGCCAAGGCAGAGCTGAGACCTAGAAAACTGACTGCTCACTGATGGTGAGTGCATGGCACCAACCTCAGACAGCTCCACCTGGCAGCCACCAGCAGCTGGAGCCCACAGACAGCAGAGCCCAGTGTTCAGAGCCTCAGATAAGAGGATTAGCAGCTAGTACCTGTCTGGTCAGGGCGCCCAGAGCTGAGGCAGCGGGCATGCTCGGTGAGGGAGGAAGTCACTGTCCTTCAGCACACGCTGTACTGGTTTTCACATCTGCAGAAGGCAGTGGTGACGCCACTTAGCTCTTCTTGGCCCCTCCATCTCGTGCTCCTCACATGTAGATCCCTCTCCATTTCTGTCGTCTGCCTTTTATTTTACTCTTATTTATACTTCAGTTTCTCCCGTAAGAGAAACCATATAGAAGTTAAGCCAACGTGTCTGATTTACTTCACTTAATGTTACATTCTCACGGGAGCCTGTGCACATTTAAACATCCTCAAATAGTCCTTCCTGGAAAGGAAACATTGGCCACCAGGGTAAATTCAACCTGCAGACAGACACCTGTTTTCAAAGCGATCCCGCATGTAAAGACTACAAGCAGTCTCTTAACATCCAGCGAGTCAAAGGAGTGTGTAATAGTTTCAGATGCTCTTGAGTTTCGTAAAATAGGAAGGGTTTAAATCTCTGCTTTCAAAAGTTTTACCCATGGTTGGTGAGTTGCTGGTGTGCCTCAGACTCTGGTGCATTTTCCTTGCTGTAATCCCAGGAGGGGCTTTGGCCTGGCTTTCCCTCCCACGTTTCCCACCACTGGGTATAGTCCTTGCTCGTGGCAGCTTCAGGCCCATCAGACCAGGATGAGTGGTGACCTCAGGGAAACTGAACACATGGGTTAAAGGGAGGCATTTTGAGCCAGTGGGCTGATGTGTTTCTATAGCAACCATCCTTTCCAGCGTTATGAATCACCTGTGCTCACATGGCACAGCCCAGCAAGTAAAACGTCAGGTTAAATTTTAGCAGTGCCTGAGGTTAGTGTGACAGTGTTTCCGCCTCTAAAAAGCACTTTATTTCAAAAGTAATGACTGCGGGCTGGGGATTTAGCTCAGTGGCATAAACACCTGCCTGGCAAGAGCATGGTTGTGAGTTCGATATCTAGTACCAAAAAAAAAAGTGATGAATGTGACCTCTGTCGCAGGTCCATTGGGACACAAAAGATAGAGCGTAGCACAAAGAATAATCATGCGGGCTCCTTGACCTGCTTTCAGCGTGGTCGTGGCAACCAGCTCTATGTAGATCGTCTTGTGTGATAAGTAGGTCTCCTCGAGATCCTCCCGGGCTGTGTTGCCATTGTGGGATTTGAGGACAGGGGACAGCTCTGTCCCCAGAGCACTGGGGATGAGACAAGGACCTCTCAGCAGCAAGTGTCCGGACACTGACTGTGCAGTCAGAGACCCCTGTGGCTCAGGGTGCATCTACGGGCGAGTATGTGCACTTGGCCCAGGTGCCGTGCCAAGGTCCCCAATCATACTGTGTCTCAGAGCCACCCAGGTGCCACCACCATGACAGGGATCTTGTCACATGCCCTGGCCCCTTCTTGAGTGGCCCTGTGGTTATGCTGGTGACAACAAAGTGCCAGGTCCCTGTGCAGCCACTTTGCCTCCTGGGCAGGAGATGAAGGGTGAGTGACATTGCCATCTCCCAGTCACACAGGTGGCCATGGAGCCAGGGCACAGGGCTCCTGGGACATGGCCACAGTCACTCCACTGCTGCAGCCCATGCGTGTTGCTCTGTGTGTGTCTCTGGGTGTGCCGATGTCTGTCCTACGTTGCCACCTGGGCAGCATTCTCATTGCCACTAAAGCCCTTCCTTTGTCCCACTGGTAGCTCAGGGACTCTCCCGTTCTCCCTGAGCAGAGTGTGTCGGTAGCAGAGCTTCAGGGCCAGCTTGCACAGGCGACCAGACTGCGGCAAGAGGAGACAGAGACATTGGCAGACACGATCCGGAAGGTAAATTTGCGCTCGGAGCCCAGCACAGCCCTTTATGCAGCCGCAGAGCCCCTGTCTATGCTCGGCATGGTGACACATGCCAGTGAGGGAGACTGACAGGCAGGAGGAACCCAGGTTCTAGTGCAGCCCACATGGCTCAGTGACTTAGCAAAACCTTGTCTTGAAACATTAAAAGTAGGGTATAGATAGAGCTCAGTGAGAGGGTCCTGGGTTCAATCCCCAGGACCAGGTTACTGTTTTACCATGCACATGAGGTCACACAGCCCCTCTCAGATGTGTCCCTGTCTGTAGAGGATGTTCTGCAGAACCCTGAAGCCACACAGTGCCCAACTCTGCATACACTGGTTTTCTGCAGCATATGAATAATAAAGCCAAACTCACAACATAGCGCTGAACAGATGCACAGCCATGAGATAGCAGAGCATTACTGTGCTGGAACGTTTTCAAAAGTTCAGAGGTTGGCTGTTTTGGGCATCTCTGCTTTGGTACATGGGGCCGTGCATGACCACAGGTAGCCGAAACCACAGAGCAGTCCCATAGCAGGGCAAATGCACGTCAAGGTTTCTGCCACAGGGTCAGTGAAAGCTGACGAAGCAGGGGCCTTTAGTCCAGCCAGACAGGCAGTGTGACTGTCACCGCGATGGTCACATCAGCTGAATTTTCTGACAGCAACATCAGCTCCCCCTACACTGTTGTCTTCAAAACCCTCACTGCTGGCGCATAGACCGGAGGAGCTTCTGGCTGCTCCAGGCCTCAGAGTCACCTGTAGCAGGTGATCATTCTTTATCCATTGACTTCCTGGAGCCCCTGCCCTGGAGGGTGGGAGGTTTGCAGGTGCGGGCAGCCCCACCCCGTGCCCCACATCTGATTTCATCTGATTTCGATCCAGGTTCCCTCTGCTGCAGCATCTCTGTGCCCTTGTGTTTGCTGTTGAAAGATCACTGCATTCAAAGCAAAACAGAGCTGCCGCGCTGCTCCAAAATGTGCCGGGGATTGGTGCCATGAGGGGCAGCATGTGTGTTGCGCATGTGACCCAGGCCGCCAAGGCCTAAGTGGGTCACAGCCTGATTAGGGACCACACGCTGCCCCACTTGGCTTATGGAGCAGCAGCGAGTGCCCTGGCCCGCCTCTCCCGGGGCACACACAGCCCTTTCCAGACGTGGCTGTCAGGAGGTCAGAACCATCGTCAGCGGAGGGAGTCACTGTGTGTTATGCAGAAGATGAATTCCTAATTAAAAAACGTGTGGGCATCACCCACAGATGGTCCAGCTTTGAATTCTTTGTGGGAGAGGCTTGTCTGGAGCTTGGAGTCCTGAGGAAGGGGTGTGTTCAGCCACATAGGCCGCTCAGAGCAGAAGGGTCCCTGTCCCCTGATGTCCCCAGGGCAGCCCCAAGGCTGGGACACACGTGGAGCTAAGGAACAGAAGACGTGGAAAGGGCAGAGGGCATTGGGTCCTGCAGGTAAGGGGCCCCTCGGTCCCCACACTGTTGCAGCATCTCAGGAGGAGCTGGGTTGTCTTCATGTCACCCCTGAGGAAGCTGAGGCTCTGACACAGCCAAGATGGACACAGCAGCCCACAAGGTGCAGCAGACATGGTTTCCCATGGAACCAGCTGCCCCACCCCACCCTGATGTCCCTGGGGAAGATAGGTGGGGGCCCTAGAGGTCTGCTGATGCATGGACAGCGTCACCACTATTCGTCAGAAACCCAACACAGGGTAGGTGTCACACAGGGTCTCACTGTGCAGTTTAGGCTGGGTTTCAGTCCACTTTGTAGCCCAGGCTGTTCTTGAACTTCAAATGATCCTCCTGCCTCAGCCTCCCAAGTGCTAAGATTACTGGCATGCGCTACCATACCCAGATTATTGGCCTTCATTGTCAGCAGCCATTGGTGTCACCTCGGGCAGCCGTGTGCCTGCGAGTTAACCCAGTACTCAAGAGGGAAGTCACTGCCTTGGTCTTCAGCTCCATTGGACATTATGAAGTCAGGAGAGGTTGCTGACAAGAGGAGTCTGCACTTGAGTCCCCTTTCTGGAGTGTGAAACGAAAGCCTTTGACCCTGTGTGTCATCTTAGCTGCTGTAGATTTCATTCTTGTACGTTATCTGAGAAATAAGATTTAATTTGCACCCTTTTGCTTAATCAGTACTGAGCCATGCTAATCATTGTGTGAAGGATAACTTTTGAAGTGTTTTAACAACAGTAACTTAGCCAGGCATGGTGGCACACACCTGTAGTCCCAGCTACAAGGGAGGCTGAGGCAAGAGCATCAGTTGAGTCCCGGACTTTGAGGTCAGCTTGAATAACATAACAAGACCCCTATTTCAAAGAAAAGCAAAAGGCAGGAGCAGGATGTTGAGGTGGGCGATACTACTTTATCAGAGCACTCTTGTCTCTCCAGGAGAGATGCAGATCTGATGGAGTGTTAAGTCCTAAGTGTGGAAATGGATTGCCCCACACTGAGGACACAGACCTCGTCCCTCCATCTTTCCGTCCCTCCCTCAGCTCTCTGCCAGCTCTGTTGGGCTGGGGGGACCCAGACTCAGGAGGTGTGAGGCAGGGATTGCCATTTCCTTCTGGTGGGACACATGTGCACTGAGCTCAGATGCTGGAGAGGTGGGACCTATTTCCCTTAAGTCCCCTGTAAGCCAGGGTTTTGAAGGACTAGGGACAGCGCCAGCCTTCTCAAGGATAGGTGGACAGAGTGGCCGTGATGCCTCTGGGTCTGGAGTCACCCCACCCCAGGGGCCACTGGCTTCTGCAGCTCTCAGCAGCCTGGCTTGGGTTGGGTCTGTCGTGTGTGTGTGTATGGGCGGACAATGGAGTGTCCATTTGTCTCCTCTGTTCTGTTCAAGATGGAGGAAGAGCACCTGTACGCGCTGCGCTGGAAGGAGCTGGAGATGCAGAGCCTGGCACTGCAGAGCACACTGCACACGCGCACTTGGGCCGAGGAGCGGGCGCTGCTGCAGGAGGAGCTGGGCTCGCTGAGGCAGAGCATCTTCCTCTTCTACATCAAGCTCCGGTGGCTGCTCATACACTGGCGGCAGGCGAAGCAGACGGGGGACAAAGGGGAGGATGGCGCCGAGGTAATGTGGCCCGAGCATTGCCATTCGCTCACCTCCACATCCACAACTTTGGGTCATCCTATGCGTTTGATGCAAGCCATGGAATGCAGTGGTGTGTCCAGTTACATTTGAACTGGCCGGGGACCTGGCTTGGAGAGCATGCTGATCTGTGACCCCATCATGGAGCCTTTTGCTGTCGACTTACTGTTTCACTGGTGTCACCCCGAGGTCCTTCCCTGTCTTTGCTAGCCTCGCTGCTTCCAAAGCCTTTACCCTGTCCCCATTTCGCCCCAATGCTCAAATCACATGCCAGCATCTTCCGGGGTCTCCACTGAGTCCCCGACCTCCCTGCATGCTCCTCCCGCTGTGTGTCCATTCCCAGATAGGTGACAGCATGGCACATAGCGGCTCGTGTTCTGATGGGGTTTCGTTGCCAAGGTGAGGGCAACCTCAGGCTCCCAGGCTCAGGGGCTACCGAGCCTCCCTCCGTGGGTTTCCTTGGAGCCTCCAAAGAGCTCTTGTCCGCTTTCCACTCCAGGGCCATGTGTGCAGTGTCTGCCCTCCCGGGAGAGGGAGTTGTCTTTCCTCAGGTTGCAGAAAGTCTTTAAAAGTGAATTCAGCCAGCTTCCCAGTACCCACGACACAAAAAGTCATCCTTAGGCAGTAAAACTAGCTGTAAGGCTTCCTGTCGGTTGGCACTCTAGGATTTCCTCTAAGCAACCCTGACTCACGAGCAGTACAATGAGAAGTCAGGGCTTTTAGTAAGCAGAGCCCCCACCTGGTGCTGGGCAGCCGGAGGAGATGCAGTGTGCGAAATGCCCATGTGGACCTCGGAGGGGAAGAGACTCGGGAAGAAAGAACCTGACAGTCCATAAATGGGTACGTCTGTTCAAACAGTAAAACTCAGGAGTTTGCCCTCCCAGGTTCTCAGGAGGCTGAGGGAAGAGGATCACTTGAGCTTAGGAGTTTGAGGCCAACATGGGCAACGTCGTGAGAGCTTGTTTTCTTAAAAAAGGAAAATCAGGCCATCCGGCACAAGGCTGCAGGCAAAGCTATGTGTCATGTGTGCTGATTTCAGGGTGAACATACAGAGACCCTCCCTGGGCTTGAGGAGCTTGGAATCCAGGGTGCCCACCAGGCCGATGGGCCCGAGTGTGATGACAGCGACCGAGGCTGTGGCTTTCCAGTAGAGGAGCACAGCCCAGCACAGATCAGCGACCACGCACTGCGGCTGCAGATGGTGGACGGGGCGCCGCTCCCCAGGCAGGTGGGTGCCTGACCCCGTGCTGTCCCCCCGGGCTACACTTGGGGGTCCCGTCTCAAGTATCGTCACTGCAGCTGGAATGTACTCCACCTCGCTGCCATCCCTGTGCCTGCTGGCAGTCGCCAGGCTTGGGTTAGCAGTGCCTTTGTGCGGCCGCTCGCCCCACAACGGCCCCTTCATTCTCTGGGCTGGGTGGGCTACAACAGAGGACCCCTGTGAGGGCAGCCAGGTGGGGTGCATCCCTCTGGGAGCAGCCAGCCTGTCCTAGAGGCAGAGAATCCAGGGTCTACTGTGGACTGAGTGGTTGAGCATGTCCGGGAAAGCGGGAACCTGAAAGCTAGAAAGAGCTCGTAGCAGTGCTGGGCCAGGATGTGGGCTGTGCAGCTGGCGGGCAGCATGGAGAAAGACCGGTGTTCCAGGCCCCAGTGCAAATGAAGGGTTTCGGGTTCTCTGCGGCCGTTTGAAACATGCTGTCCCCAATCCAGTGTTTGATGCTGAAGCACACAGGAGCAGGTGTGAGAGCCTTGGGACTTAGGTCCAGATCTAAATGAGAGAGGAAGCAGTGTTGTCCTGAACCCAGGTCCACTCTTGCGTGCCCATCCACCCCCACGTACCCCCCAAGTGTGGGGACTCCAGAAATAGAGGACACTTTCCAAGGACCTTTGCCGCACACCATTGGGAAGTGTGTTACTGTCCACGGGGACAAGCTCCACTTCTGGCCGGGAAACATTCTGGAGAAGCTGCCAGTGTGATGCACGGGGCCCGAAGATGTCTCTGGCTTCCTGATCTTTACTCAGTGGTGGAGGTGGCTGGTGGTTCTCTGTGCAGGCATTTGAGGCCAGCGTGGCCACAGCTGCTTGTGTAATGGAGGTTTCTCGATTCCTCTGAAATCAGGGTTAAACCCAGGTGATCCGTGGTGCTGGGATCATCACCCCATGGTTCCAACAGCCCATCTTCTCAGGGGTAGACTGATGACCAAAAGTCCTTTTTCCTTCTGGGAGGTGAGGTGCTGCTCCTGTTAACACCACCAGGTACAGGTGTGCAGAGCTAATGCAGATTCTGTAGCAGGAGCCACAGGGGTGCTGTTCCTCAGTCCTCTGCTCCCAGTCCCTGTAGAGGTCCCTGGCCTACCTGGGCCAGGTGCGGGTAGCATCCTCCAGCCACAGGGCCTGGAGACTGGCCCATCAGACACTCCAGTCCACCTGGGCCGGCTCCCTGGCTGTTTTGCTGCCCCTGTTCTGTCTCGCCTGAGATAAAAGAAGCTTCCAAAAAGAACATTTCTGCCAGATGAGACCTGGTTTATTTTTGCATTGTGCTGGGGATCAAACCCAGGGTCTGGAGCATGGTAGGTGAGCACTCACCCCTGAGGGCCACCCCACCCTGCTAACAAGAAAGCTCTGTCCTGAGCCTAGATGGCTCCTCCACGTGAGGTTCGCCTCTTCCCCTCCTGCATGGACTCCCTGGCAAGACCGCTGCCCTCCATGGAAGAGGAGCCTCCTGGGCTCCTCTTTGACCCTTGGGGTCCCTTGGCCATTGTTCCTGTTGCTCTGAACTTCTCAACTTGCACAGGTGCAAGTTCACATGTACACAAGGAGACCCAGTAAGAGGACTCTGCCTGCCCCTCCGTCCTTTCCGCAGCTGGCAGCTTACAGCACCCCACAGAGGGTGACACAGCTCCAGCCCTCCCTGGGTCATGGTTTCCTTCCGAGTAGCCGCTGGGTTTTTGTCAGACCTGCCCTGATTTAAGCCTCTGAACAATCGCTCAGTGTTCACTGTTAAACATGGGCGTCATTGACTCTTCTTTAGCTGTAACTGTCTTGGGATGCTGACAGCAGCAGCATTAGTGACTGAAGGCACAGAGGGCTCCAGAATCCTTGGCCGGAGCACAGGTGGCTCCTGGGAAATGGATCCCCAGACCCTGAAAGTGCCAGTTAGGGCCTCACCAGCGGGGGAGGACAGTGGTTTTAGAAGAGAATCTTAGATTAATCTGAATGTAACAATGAAGGCTAAAAGATGACAGATGACTTTTTAGCCGCATGTTGCTGGATGTGTGACTGCATCATTTCTGGCTGGTGTCACTGGGAAGGTCTTATCCTTGCTGATACAGGAGTGGCCTTCCCTGCTGTGCCTGCCCCTGCCCTGCCCTGTGTGTACCAAACAGGAGCTGCACACAGCCAGGGGGGTGTTCCCCAAGGATCGCAGAGTTCCTAGCTGCATAGAATAACCCCGATAAGAAGGACACAGAGGCCCGCACCTCTATTTTGTGGCTATCTTTTTGCAGATCAGCCTGCGGCAGCAGGTCAGTATGTCTGCTCCACTCGTCTCCGAAGATAATGGCTCTGAGAAGGCTGCGTGGGGTCAATCAGTGGTGGCTTGGTATTATCCGTGGTAGGATTTCACTGAGGCACCTTCTCAGAAGCCTGGGATTCTTTTAAAATTTTATTTGGAATATAGTAAAAATACAACAGAACAAGACAGAACAAAGCCAATCGAGACAATGCAGTGACACTGGTACAGAACTTCACAGCAGGATATTGGGATGGTAGTAATAGGTACTACAGTACATCTCATTATCTTCACAATAGTTGTCCAGTCAGTTCACTATAGCAAAATCAAACCAAAAACAGAACATTATAAAACCAGTTGAAAAAGCAAAACAATCATTACAAAACATAACAGTGAAAATAACCTTTGCCTTGAAACAGAACATAGAAGGAAGTCCCCCATATTTGCTGTATTGCATATGGTCATCCTCCCAAGAGATGTTCAGACCTCTGTCCCCAGTTGCTCACGGGGGCACCGGCAGGCTCACTGGAACAGCTGACTGGTTCTTCTGGCCCATGCCAGGGGTGCTTACTGAGAGGGCGGGCAAATTGGAGAAGTCTGGGATTTTGAAAGGCACAGCTTCTCAGCATTCTGGGTGCAGCACCTAAGCCGTAACCCCTGCATCACTTCCTGTGGGTGGTGGTTGTTGTAGGCCTACATTGCAGTGTGACTGACCGGCAGCGGTAGTGGCCTCGAAGCTGTGCGGGGTGACACGTTACCCTGTAGTTGGGCTCCGGGCTCAATTTTAGAAGTATTTTAAGCCTTGCCCATGCTAAAACGCCCTCCAGTGGAAGATGAAGTACTGAAGCCATTTTACCCTGCTTCTATGCTAGAAAACCAGCAAGCTGCCCTTTGAACCGTCTGAAGAGTTGGGCTTTGGGTTTGAAACTGCCTTCTATTTAAGCACCCCTACCCAAAGGCTGCAGAGCTACACTCCTAGCACCAGAGCCTCAGGGGGCTTCGTGCCCAGTGTGGCTTTTGGTGGAAAGACCTCTAAGTGGGTCTGTTAATTTGATACTTGATTTGGGTCGAGTTTTTACCCAGAGCCTATCCCACGGCAGGGAAGGAGGAGAGAAAAGAAGCTTACAGGCTTACCCGCTTGTTTCCCTGGCAGGGGAGAAGACAGCAGTCTCACAGACATTAGGGTGCTTCTCTGAGGCAGAGTTAAAAGAAAGCCCTGGGGGTCGGGACATAGTTCAGCTATAGAGTGCTTGCCCAACTCATAAATCAGGGCCCTGGCTGCAAGGCAGGAAGGAGAGGGTCACAGGGAGGAGTGGAGGGGAAGAGGATGGGCAAGGGGCTCGGCAGGGCATGGAGTCATCATCTGAATATTTCCAGCCCGGCTCATCTGGTTTCTGGAGTACACACCCACTGGGGTGCAGTCCAGGCCCTTGCTTCCTTAACATCAGCACCTCAGTGGGACCTGGGTTCCTCCTGGCCACAGGCTCCTCTGTAAGGTGGGGAGCACAGCAGTGACAGAGCTGCAGGGCGGGGGAGAGACACAAGCAGGATTGTAGAGGCCCGTGGGAAGCCATGTCAGTGACTATTGTGCCTGGGCTTTTACGTATATGTGTATAAAAACTGTTGGGAAGAGTTGTGCCTGTCCATGGCTCCTCTGGGTCTCCAGAAATGTCCCATAGACAGCCCCTTTGTGACCTCATGCATTTGTGGCAGAAGCTGTGCTGGCTTCCTGCCACACCACGCACGGTTCCTGGCCCGTGAGGATAACAAGTACCAGCAGCCTCGATGCTCTGGGCTCCCTTGTTCTCACCCCAGAGCAGTTCTGGAGCTCGGTCTTGGTGATTAATCTTACCCGGGGTCACAGGCTACTGCATTGATTACTGTGACTCAAACGTGCGTGAAAACCGTTAAGCCTTGATTTTATTGAATCTGGTATATAATAACGTCAAATAGTACTTGCTTCCCTTCCTTAGAAGGCAGATTTTCAGTCTGGAGTGTTCGGTTATTCTGCTCATAGAAAAGGGTTTCTCTTTTACTAATTTAGCTTTATTTAAATGTAAAATTATACACCTAAACTTCCCGAGGTTCTTCGCACGGACTTCGGGGTGTGTTTGCCGGTTACTGGGTGACTTTAGAACCGGGCTGGGCTCAGAATGTGCTTTGGTGCTTTCTGGTTGGCCGAGGCGGGGAGCCAAGTGACAGCGTGCTTCATTTGGCTACACAAGCTCTGTGGCAGAATCCCTGCATGGACGCACGCTCACGCAGGGATCGTGAGCTCACACTGTGCCGAGGAAGGCCCGGGGAGAGCTCAGAAAACATAAAGGCTTTTACATGAGGTACAAACAGCTGCCGTGAAAACCCTAGATGTGTCCGCTGTTTACCTAACACAGCTAGGGTCCTGCAGACACTGGAATGCCAGCCTGGGTGGGGCTGTGTTCCCAGAAGTGACAGGATGCAGAGGGCAGGTTAGAGGCAGCTGCAAAGGGGCTGTGTGAAGTGTGCAGAGGCCTGGTGGTGGGGGGTAGGCTCCGCTGTGCCCCAGATGCACATGTCCCCACTGAGCCATGGGTCGCCCCACCCGGATAGCCAAGCTTCTGCCTGGTGACCACAGATCAGATGCAGCCACTTCCTGTTAACGAGCGTGCGGCCTTTGAGCCATCCTTTCCACTTCGGCTGCACAGAGGGACATGTGTACGTTTTCTCAGGTCCACACCCCACACCAGGTGGAAGCAGCCCAGTCCCAAGCTGTGGACACCTGATGTCCCATAGGGCGGCTGGCCAGCCCCACTCAGGCCTCTTGCACTTCCTGCGTCTCTGCCGCTGCGGCAGGTCCCAGGGCACAGGCCCGAGTCTCATCTGTGGGGATACCTGCCCGGGACCCAGGAAGCACAGCCCCCCAATCTGGCAGACCCTGTCCCCAACTGCCAGGGCCGCCCCTTCTCTGCCTTGAGGGTGCTCCCGCCATGGAAGCGTCGCCTGACCTGATGTCCCCGCAGGTGGTGGAAAACCAGCACCTGTTCCGCGCCCTTAAGGCCCTGCTGGAGGACTTCCGCTGCGAGCTGTGGGAGGACGAGCTGGCCCGGCGGCGGCTGCAGCAGCAGTACGCCAGCGACAAGGCAGCCTGGGATGTGGAGTGGGCCGTGCTTAAGTGCCGCCTGGAGCAGGTACTGGCAACTGGGGTGTCCCACCACTTGGGCTGGAGGTACAGTGGAGGATGGTGCCCCAGTCCAGGAGAAAGGGGGGCTGGCAGCTAGGGCCCTCCATATGGTGCCAGCTGAGGTCCCCGACACTCCCAGGTCCCTAATGTGCCTGTCAGGCAGTACATGTCGTGGCGTCGTTGGCCCACCTGCCCTCCACAAGGTTTGGGGGGCCAGTGTGATGACATCATCACACTGAGCTGCTGCAAGCATAGTGAGGGGAATGTGCTCTGGCAGGGCACACACCGTCCTCACACACCTCATATTACTGGAAAGACTCTCAGTGTCAGCCTCCTTCCCACCCCAAGGGAAACTGAGGGCCGGAGGAGCAGGCTTCACATCTCGAGCCACTTAGCACTGAGGAGGGAGAGCCCTGCGTCCTGCCTCCTTCTGCACATGACCCCCGTCCGTGGCACCCCAGCCTTTCCCAGGGTTTCTCCTCTGAGAGTCCTAAAGAGTAATCCACAGCCTCCACAGCATCTGCTGCTCTGGGCTCATCTGCTCCTGAGTCCTGGGGAGGTGGGGTCTGAGTGGCTCTGATCACCACTTTCCTGGACTGTGCCACGGTTGGTAAAGGTCACATAAGCTGCTTTGGTTGTGAGAGAAGAAAATAGTATAGAAAGCAGCATGTCTCAAACAGCCTGGGGAGGAGAGGAGGTGGCCTGTTGGCTCCTGGTAACACGTGTACCCCACCGCTGCCAGCTGCCCTGGGCCCCTGCTGTCCTGCACCATACGCGCGGACACCCTTGGTCAGAGCTGCTGTCTGCCCAGTGTTTAGCAGGCAGGACCGGCACTGGGAGACTGAGCGCGGCTGCCCTTGGCCAAGCTGCCTCTCCCCCTGTTTAAAGATGTGCGTGCAAGGCACCTGGGGGGGAGGGCTAAATATTTTCCAAGACGTGAGACACTAAAGAGGGGAGGCCTGAGCTCTGATGAGAGCCAGTTTCACAACATCTCAGCTTTGTTGGGAACTGGCACCCACTCACACGTTCACTACAAGCACAGGCTCGGGGAGTTAGCGCCCAGCAGAAAGAGAGCTCGGACTGTAAACCCGGAGGCCAGGAGGCCGACTCTACCCAGATCAGCCAGGGGGTTTCTTACACACGTATGACTGGGAAGCTGTGTCTGTGGCCTGGACCGGTCCATCTGTTATCTCAGCTTGGTCTTCTACTTCAGTGCAGCTGGTTTAGTCCCACTAAAATTTAAATATTTCCCTACGGGCGGACCTGTCCAGTGCTTTTCCCTGCTCTGCAATTCTTTCCACTGGCGCCCAAATCAGACCTTGTGCGCACTTGGCATCTAACAGCCTTCGAGGTGTTTCTCACTGGTGGGCGACAGGAACAGGGGCCATTGTGGGCAGTAGCATGGGAAGAGCTATGCTCTTCCACCTTACTGGGGGCTCGGGAAGGCTGCACTGAGGTGTCACAGGCTGGTGGCGATAGCCATGCAGAGGAGAACAGGCCCGGTGGGGCCTTGTGAGAGAGGGTGTGAGGCCCAGCTGAGGCACTCAGAGGTGAGGTGGGGAGGCACGGAAGCAGGCGATACCGCAAGCCTGATTTCACCATGGACTGTGGGTCTCCTTTTAAAATGATTGCTCTGGCTTCAAGGTAGAGATGAGTGGAAGCCATAGGGAGTGAGAGGATGATGGGCTCAGGGCTGTGGATTAGCTTCAGGGAGCTGTTCCACCAGAACAGGGAGGAGATGCCCTGTCTCAATGCACGCTAAGCTACACTTCACCTCCAAGCTGCAGCGCGGCCCTCAACGCACCCTGTACCCACTAACTCACCATAACTGCGACTATGAGTGCCAGGCCCCCCAGGAATCACAGACTGTGACACTGGGGAGAGCAACTGGCGTCAGAACACTTAAAAAGTATGTGATTAGCTGGGCATCTGGGAGGCTGAAGCAAGAGGATCACAAGATCTTGGCAAGCCTGAGAACCATGGCATGTTCATGCCTTCCCCACCCTCCATCTCTAGGTCCCCTTCCCTTTTGCAGAAGATCTATTTTGCCATTTCCTGTTATCTGTCTTTTGTTTGGTTTTTAAACTTACCTATACTTTAGGTTTTTCATATAGCAGAATCCATGCGATATTGAAGTTTGTGTCTGGTTTGTTTCACTCAGCATCACAGTTTCAAGGTGCCTCCATTTTCTTATAAATGGTTTAAGTTTATCCTTCTCATGGCAGAAGAGTGCTGCAAGGTATATAAAGCCGTGTCTTCCTTGTCCATTCATCTGTCCATTCATACCGGCTGCTTCCAAGATTTAGCTGCTACTATAAACACGGGTGTGCAGGGAGCCCTGTGATACACGTCTTTAACACTTGGGGAAGATGCCAAGAAGGGATGGCCAGTCAAATGGAATTTCTAGTTTTAGCTTTCTGGACTCTCTGTTCTAGTTTGTGTTCCCCTCAACAGCATAGCAGGGGCTCCTTTTCTCCCCACCGCCTCCCCAGCACTTGTTACCTGTTGACTTGTTGACTCTGGCCACTCCTTCTAGGGTCAGATGGGGTCTCAGTGCTGTTTAAATTTGCATTTTCCTTGTGGCTGTCGACGTTCCATGTTTTCGTGTACTGGCCTTCTGTCTGTCATCTTCGGAGAAGTGTCCCTTCATTTCAGATGCCCATCTTTCGATTGGGTCTTTTAGTTGGTGGCTATCAAATGTTTTCAGTTCAGGCGTTTGGCATGACATCGGTTTCTGCAGTGGCCTGGCCAGGTGACCAGGAGTCCAGGGGCTGTGTGCAAATCTGGGTCTCTTCACCCTGTGGCACCCCACTTGCTGGGAGGGTTCCCTAAGTCTTTTTCCTTGGTAGCTGGAGCAGAAGGCGGAGAGAAGTGTGGGCGAGCCGGACACTGCCTCTGAGAGCCGGGGCACGCTGCGGAGGGAGCGGGAGGCCCACCAGCAGCTGCTGGCCGATAGCCATGGCCTGGTCATGGACCTGCGCTGGCAGATGCACCACAGCGAGAAGAACTGGAGGCGGGAGAAGGTGGAGCTGCTCGAGCGCCTGGACCACGAGCGTCACAAGTGGGAGCAGCAGCAGCAGGAGCTGGCATGGAGGGTGGAGCAGGTAAGTGTGGCCACAGCCTCCCCGAGGGGCAGTGCAAGCACTGGGGTGAGAGGCTGGGCTGCCCCCGGCCTCCAGAGGAGGAGTGGAGAGAACAGAATTCCTGAGGTTTGGTGGTGGTACACGCCTGTCGTCCCAGCACTGGGGAAGCTAGAGCAGTAGGCTCTTGCATTTAAGCCCAGCCTGCACAGTTTATTGAGACTGTAGCTCAGAATAAAAAAGGACCGGGGATGTAGCTCAGCACTGAGGTCTTGAGTTGATTCCCAGCACCACCCAGAAGAGAAACAGATGCCCTCAGGTCCTAGGAGGCCTTGCCCAGGGGACCTGTGCCTGTGCTGGCACTGCCTAGTGGTCTCCATCGCTCTGTGCCTGCCTGTGTACGTGGGAATGGAGAACGATCGTTTTCTAAAGTGGTTTGTGGTGACACTTCAAGACGAGGAGTCATTTCAGGTCCTACCTGGCACTTGCCACAGAGCAAGCCTGAGTTTGTCCCCAAAGGTGCAGTCACAGCAACTGCCCTGGCCAGGGTAGGATTGAGGCCATCTGGGAAGCAGATGAGGGGTTGAGGTCAACTGGAGCTGGCTCGGGGCCTGCTGTGACCAGGAGGACCCACAGAGGGGAGGCTGTGGCCAGGCATTGTCCTCGGCCCAGCCCATGTTGATGGACTCGGAGGGGAGTGGGGAGCCGATCTCCTCTGCCCAAACCATCACCCTCCGCACTGGGCAGACTTGGCTCACGTGGTGGCTGAGGTTCCTGAGAGATGCGCAGACCTGAGTCACAGATTATGGTTCCCCTGGCTGGGTTTCATCGTTCGCAGTCGCACCCAGGTATTCACTAGGCCTCCAGGAGATCATGAATCAGGAACAAATAGACCAGGAAAAGCCACCTCATAAATTCCCGGGGAGCTGGTGCGTGTGCTCTGGGCCATGTCCGTGTCATGGCTGTTTCAGTGTCACACAGGATGTGAGAAGGTCAGAAGAAAGAGACCAGGCACCAGGGCCTTGACACCACCTCCAGGAAGCAGGCAGAGGCCTCCCTGGGTGTGGTCACTCCCACAGATGTGTCCCCTTGCTCCTATTTGATACGGCTTCATTTCAGAATCCCCCAAATCCTAGCAAGAGGAAAACTGTGGTGTTTCCGGTTCAGCTCAGAGAAAAGCAGCTCTCGGAGAAACCTCTGGAGGGCACACCGTGGGCCTGTGCCGGCGGATGGGGTCAGCTGTTAGGTGACAGCCTGAGGAAGAAGCAGCGTGGTTCCTAGGAGAATGGTCTCCAGTGACTCAGAGCGGTCCACAGTTGCCAGCGTCACAGTCACCCAGTTGGCTGGCTGCCTGGGACCCTCCTTCCTGGCCACAAGGCTGGGGTCCCTTACCGTGTACCCCAGTGATGCTGCCATGTTCCCATCCTGGCCTTGAGGGCTCCCTTTGCCTATAGGCCATGGTGGCTTATTGGTCTTGCGTGGGCTTCGTGCATTTTAAAAGCCCCATCTTGATAGAGGTTAAGTCTTTCAGACTTTCCTTTCACTCTTGGGAATGCTGGAAGAGACACACAAGGGACTCAACTTCCAGTCCTCGAACTGGGTGAGACAGTTCAGACGCTCTGTGTGCCGCAGAGGGCTGGCTGTGGAGTGTGCAGGCTTTGCTGCCCACTCACCGGGCTGCCGCTTCACCTGGCGACCGATGTAGCTGTGGATTTCACCTAAGTGAAAACGCACGCTGGGCATTCTCAGCGTGTCCTCGAACTCTGACTGCTCAGGAAGCCACACAGCCTTGATTTGGTAGTGCAGTATAGGTGGCGAAGGAGCAGCCTTAAGTCCATTTTCTGCTACAGAGCACATTCTTCGTGCTTGGCCCTGTGTCGTTCAGTTCCACTGTGACTTCCGCACCACACTAGAGGCACACTGTGTGAGTGGGGCTGTGGGAGTGGGGCTTGTCTCAGTCTGCGTGATCCGGGGTCGTTAGGTTTCCTGGAGTCACAGTACACTTGTGTTCGAATCGTGACCTTCCCAGGTAATTGAGCACATAAAGTTGCCTCTCACTGTCCTTGCAAAGCTTACTAGGAAGCTCCTACGTCACCTGACTGCCTTCCAGTAACTTTCTTAAATCAGCTGCTTTCACGACATGAAAGGCCCTTTTAAAACCTGTTGACAAAGCCACCTATTTTCCCTTGCCCAGTCTGGGTAAGAGGACACTCTTGAGGACCTTTTATGTTCTGCATTACTTGAAATGCAAGTCTGACCAATTTTCCATTTGCAAGAGAAGGTTTCCATTTGCAAGAGAAGGTCTGCCTTGAGTCACTGGTACAGTAGGTGCTGCTGCCCAGCTGGGAGGCTGCCAGGAAACCCTAGCTTTGCAGGGCTCGTTGCTCTGTTACTGCACTGCAGAGGCATCCGGGCAGCAGAGCGCTCCAGCCCGCCTGTGCCAGTCCATTTCTGAGAAACCTAACACTCAGCAGCTCGGCTGTGCAGGCTGCTCCTCCCGGCTGCCTGCGTTTATTTTTGAAATTCTACTTCCCTTGTTCATAGCTCTCCCCTTTAGTCATCCTTTCTCCTCCGTGCACATCTACAGCTTCCCTATGGGGCTTGCGTTTTAATTCCCTGCCCAGAATAGTCTGAGGGTGATCATGTGTCAAAACCAAATTGGGCTGGCACACACTGGGTGAGCACAATGGAAACTGCTCCCTTCCATTTGTCTGTGCGAAGCCTGTAGCATCTTTAGGGACCTGCAGGCGGAAGGGGCCCAGCTGGAGCCCGGGAGATTCACTTGTTCTCAATTGACCGAGACCCTGCCTCAGACTCCAGCATCTAAATCGGGACCCCTGGAATCTGCATCTTTTCAGAGTAAATCCAATTCTTTGAACTTTCACTCCCCTGTCCCTCGATGACTAGAAGAGTAAGCAGGTGCCAGCCCCTTGTCCCTGGTGCCTCCTCGGCTTTCTTCCTGCAGGGTTGCAGGCTGTGCTTGTGTTGGCTTGGGGCCAAAGACTCACATTCTTCAGGAATGGAGATGCTCCCTTAAAAACCTAGCCCAGGGCACTGTAGAATTCCCTGGCGCTGTCCCAGCACTGGAGGGCTGAAAATCTTCACCTGGCACTGCTCAGATGTCACCCCTGTCATTCTGGCAGCTCACAGATTCGAGAGAGTGTGTGGGCTCGTGCCCTTTAAAGGTCCCACCAGTGAGCAGAGGCTCAGCAATGCTGTCTGACAGGGTGGGGGGGCTGGGGGAAACACAGCCCCTGCAGGAGACCTGGGCTCCTCTCGAGCTCCCGAGCTCCCGCTGCGAGATCCCTCCTAGCACAGTGAGAGAGACAAGGAGGGCACTGTCACGTGACCTGGGAGCGGCATATCCGGGCTCCAACCTCACAGCTTGCTCTCTACTGCTGCTTTGGTTTACCAAAGTAGGGCTGGAAAGCATGTGGCTTCCCCCGCACCATCAGCCCTTAAGTTAGGCTTTACAGCAAAGCTTTAATCCCCTCAAGCAGAGGGGAAGCCGTGTTTATAATGGTCACAGCTCAGCGTGATTGTGGAGTGAGAATGGGGCCGGTTGCGGGTGATCCGGGCTCTCAGGAAAACCAGGTTCACTTTGGAAGGGTCCCCCACGCGTGGCATTCTGGTAGAATGCCCCCAGCTCTCAGAGCTATTCCCAGAGTCTGAACCCTGTTTGAGTTTTTAAAAATAAGTACATCTTTTCCCACAACACGGTACTCAAAGCTGTGAGAAAACATACTTTACAACAGAAATGAAGAAAATGTACACGTTTGGGCCTGCTGAACTGACCCCGTTTGTGTAAGGTAAATGCAATTCTCCTACTCCAAATAAAACTGTGGTTTGGTTTGTTTGTTTTTGGTTTTTTTGTTTTGTTTTGGTATTTGCTGCTGTTTTGGTTTTTTGAAACAGATCTCACTGTGTACAGAGTTCAGGCTGGCCTTGAACTCACAATATACCCCAGGCTGGCTGCAAACTTGCAGCAGTCCTCCTGCCTCAGCCTCCCAGTGCTGGCATTACAGGCATGTGCCACAAAACTGTTACTTTAAAAGAATTTGAAACTTGGTACATTCTGAAATTAGGTTGAACTTTAAGAACATTTGTTGTTTGCTGAGTCTTTCAGATTGACCCACGCCTCTTGCTACGTGTTGGTGATACATTGATCTTAATTAAGGAAACCATGAAACCCAAATGGGAGGCTAATGATTTCCATTTCTAAAATTTCAAGTTGCAGAAAGAGAACAGTCCTCGGAGAGGTAGCAGTTTCCTCTGTGATCAGAAAGAAGGCAGCCTGCGCCCCTCCTCCCCTCCAGGAGGGCCACGAGTGCCCCGGCCGGTGTCTGTGTGGCCCTGTGTGGACACTGACTCCCTGCCGTTGGAGGACCAGCCGCTGTCCAAGCTGAAGGAGTCAGACAGGTGCTCCGCCAGTGAGAACCTCTACCTGGACGCCTTGTCCCTGGACGATGAGCAAGAGGAGCCACCCCTGTCCCGCAGGCCCGAGAGGACGCTCAGGAGCCGCCTCCCCGAGGTCAGCCTGGTTCTGTGCACTCTGCTCAGCTGTGTGAGTTAGCCGCAGCAGGGTGAGCAGCTGTCACTTGGCCCAAACCCTGTGGCCTCCAGTGCCAGTCTGATTCCCTGAGGATGGAATCGCCCCTGCACTGGGGGTGGCTTGATGGCCTTGAGCCTGAGCGCCTGGGGTGATTCATGGTCAGTGCGACTTTGCCATCCCGATGGTGTCCTCCACCAGAGTGAGGGTTGAAGAGGAGCTGTCCAGCACGACTCACTCCAGGAAGTAAGGACTCGACCTGTGTGTGTTCAGCTCCTCCTCAATACAGCGTCCATTTCCTGATTCTAGGAAAGTAATAACCAAGAAAGTTCTGTGTTCAGGAGACTCCTACCATTTGAAAGCGGCAAGTATCACCAAGCCCTGGCATACGACAAATATCTTATTCCAGGCAGAGGAGAGAGAATCCAACACTAACACCACCACCACCCCATGTCTAACAAGTTCCCATGATGAACTGAGCTATAGACTGAAATGTTCACAGCAGGGTGTTACAACTAACATTTTTTTACTGACACTGGTTTTAAAAACCTCATTTTAAACACTGCTGCTCGGAGTCCTTGCTAGGACTCAGCCTCACAGTTGCCATGCCTGTTACTTGGTGTCCCAAACAGCGGTCCTTAGAGGAGAGTTCCTGTCCCACAGAGCTGTTGCCATCTGGAGAAATCATATGGGTCACATACCCTTACTTGAAATGCTGGGACCCAGAGGGGTTGTGGAGTCAGATTTCTACAGATTTGGGGTATTTGAATGTACGTCATGGGACCTGCCCCCACCCCACATGGCCCAAAGTATGGTTCGTATTGTGGCCATGGGGCCAGGTCTCAAGCTTCAGATTTGGTAGCGTCTGTAGTCTCCCAGGGGCCCCTTTCAGAGCAGAGCAGATGCAGGACACCTACACACATGTCCTGGCCCAGCCACGTCACAGCTGGAGCAGGGGCATGGGCTCTGCTAGCGTTCATTGTTCATGGAGCATGTCCCGTGACCTCCGCATGCTTCCTCCCAGCCGGGCCTGCCCTCTGCCCGCTGGGCTCTGGCGCCTTGCTAAGGGGACGCTGCTTAACCGCACTTCCGATCCTGAGGTTTATGACACACTGGTGAGGGACATGCCAGCTGCTCGAGGGACACGAGTCTCCCAGTGCGCCCTTCATGCCGCCTCCCCAATCACACAGGCACCCCCCCGGGTGAACCCCGAGGCAGGGGACTGGACAGGTTACCTCTCCTGCGGCTCCCCCAGGCCTTGGGAGTGCCAGCCCCTCCTCTCACCTGGGCTTTTATTGTCCCTCAGAGGACTCAGGCAGTGACACTCCTGACTCAGCAGCCTCTGCACAATTTAAATGGCTTCTGCCCACAGAGCAGAGCAAACACCAGGCCTCCAGGAGGCCAGAGCAACCGACTTCAGACCAACTTACTTCTCTTACAGGAAGAAGAAAACCACAAGAGGAGTCTGCAGAGGTGAGTGAGGCTGACCAGACTCAGGTCCCTTCTGAGATGCCCTCACTCAGGCTTGCAGTTCCCTGGCCCGTGGTGTGCGTTATGTAGTGGCCTTACCACCATCATCTGTGAACTTGTTCTCTCTGAGGATTGGAGCCAAGAGGCCACAGCTCCAGTGCACTGACGTTCTGCGCGCCATTGTGGTTGCATTGAACGTGCAATAGGGTGCTGTGCTCGGTGGTCTTTGCACAGTCCGAGGAAGACTGGTGGAAATCTGGGGAAGTCCCTTGGCAGAGGAGGCGTGGCTTCCCCAGGGGCATTGACCGAACTTTCCATGCCTGTGACCCCTGAAGAAAGCACAGGGTGCTGACCTGGTGGGCACCAGTCACCTGCAGGTCCCTGTGTCAGTGCAGCTCCCCAGCTGGCCACTATCGGTGGGGCGAGCGGTTCCTCTGTTGTGGCCTCTCGTTCCCTTGCCCACCCGTGTCACCTTGCTGTCCTCGAGCAGGGCAGGCCCGGGCCCCACAGCCAGCTTGTGCCTCTCAAGAGCCCCGGCCCCTGGGTGGGTGGCTCAGTGGCTCTGTGCCTTAGTTTCCTTATCTGTGAACAGGGAGACGGGTTTGTCTGCAGCGTATGTGTGCTTGCTGCTCCCCCTCTGGTTTGTCTGGTCTGCATAGTGGCCTTTGGTGACTGCTGCCCAGGCCAGCGGGGCCATAGCTGTCCCTCCCCTCCCCTCCCCCGCTAGCTCCCTGGTGCCTGTCTAAAGGGACACCAAGTACCTAGTATGGCTCCGGGCATGGGGATCATGGCAGGGGGACCCTACTCCTCGTGTGTCCATGGTCTGACTTGTCTGAGGCTGTGGGGACAGTCCCGGGGCCTTGAGCAGCTGACAGTGGTCCCAACAGTCGAGGCAGAGGGATGCGTCCCCCACTGCACGGGGCATCTGCTGGGTGTTCACAATCTCTGCTCCCCTCCCCAGGGTGGTGTCTGTGTCCTCCATGTCTGAGTTCCAGCGCCTGATGGACGTCTCCCCCTTCCTGCCGGAGAAGGGCCTGCCACCAGCCAGCAGCAAAGACGATGTCACCCCGCCCCTGTCCCCCGACGACCTGAAGTACATCGAGGAGTTCAATAGCCAGAGCTGGGACCCCTGGGCAGACAGGACCAAGGGTGGGTGGGCAGGGCAGGAGGCCCCAGCAGAGCCTCCCCCCACCTCCTCCTGGTACCTGACCACAAGTGTCACCATGACAACAGACACCGTGACCAGCCCGGAGCACTGCCAGAAGCAGGCGCTGCGTAGCCACGTCCTGGCTGAGCCATCAGGGGTGCGTGTGCTGCACAGCCCGCCTGCTGTCCGCAGGGCAGACAGCATGAGGCCCACAGCGGGTGGCCAGGCCCGGGGCCGGCTGGATCCTGAAGGCCCATTGCCCTCCAGCAGAGCCAGAAGAAGCCTGGGAGAGGCCAAGGAACCCCCTGCACTGGGCAGGCGGCCCTGCACCCCCTCCCGACACCCCCGAGACTACACGGAGGGTCCCCTGTGCCCACTCGACCTCCCCCTCTGCACCCCACTGGGGTTCACCACCCCACTGCACAGCCTGGACGTGTCCAAAAACATGAGTGACGACACCAAGGTGGCAGCCTTCTCCGTCCGGCGCACCCTGTGCTCTTGTCCCACCCGGCCCCATGTCAGGGATATGGCCTGCCAGACGAACGAGTCCCGCTCCACCGGGACGCAGACTGTGCAGTCCATCAGCGTGGGCCTGCAGACCGAAGCCCTGCGTGCCAGCGGTGTCACCAGCAGCCCCCACAGGTGTCTTACGCCAAAGGCGGGGGGTGGTGCCACTCCAGTGTCGTCCCCATCCCGGAGCCTTAGGAGCAGGCAGGTGGCCCCTGCCATTGAGAAGGTGCAAGCCAAGTTCGAGCGCACCTGCTGCTCCCCGAAGTATGGGTCCCCCAAGCTGCAGAGGAAGCCCCTCCCCAAAGCTGACCAGCCAGCCAGCAGGACCTCGGTGGGGGGCGGCCAGAAAGGGTTCAGCGAGTCAGCCTGGGCCCGCTCCACCACCACGCGGGAGAGCCCTGTGCACCCCACCATCACTGATGGCCTCTCCAGCCTCTTCACCATCATCGATCACAGCCCAGCCCTGCAGGACCCCTTTGGGAAGGGCACGCGGGCTGGGAGCCGCTCTCAGGCCGCCCCAGAGCTGGGCCCTGGCCAGGAAACAGGCCCTGGCTCCCAGGGCAGGTCACCCAGCCCCCTGGGCACGGGCAGAGAAGATGGAGGAGAGGGCACGCCTGTAAGGCAGGACCTGTCCGCACCCCCTGGCTACACACTGGCTGAGAGCGTAGCCCGGATTCTCAACAGGAAGCTGCTGGAGCATGCCTTAAAGGAGGACAGGAGGCAGGCCCCCCACGGCCCCACAAGCCTCATCAGCGACAGTGTCATGGGAGACACAGCTCCAGCTGAACCGGGGACCATGGAGGTAAGGCATGCAGAGCTTTCTGCGCCCATCCCAGCCTGCCCCTGCACTCAGCTGCCCCCAGGGCCCGGATGTGGGTTTCGGGGAGCACTGTCTGCAGGGCTCTGTTTCAGGAGCGGGGGAGGGCAGCATTCCTGGAGGACAGAGTAAGCAACAACCCTGAACCCGAGTCACTTCTAAAGTTCAGTGTCATCATACAGTTCTCAGAATGCTGCTTGGGGCTGGCTGCAAGAGGTCCTGTGTGCTGAACTTTGCTCAGGGCCAGGTCTCTGTGGGACCTGGTGTGTGTGTAAGTGCGGGGGTTCCTGCCCACCGCAGGTCTCCGCGTGTAGGGCCAAGGTGCTGGACAATGCTCAGCCCCAGCACACCCCACATCTGTAGCCTCTCCAAGTCACTGTCATGGCAGTCCTCTGGCCCAAAGGCCACAGATGTACCCAGTGCAAATCCTGAGTCAGCCAGGGACCTGGTGACGGTCCCCTTGATGACAGCTCAGTCCACCCTTCTCTGTTGACCCGTGGTCCCTTGTAGCCTGTGGGTGCCTCATTCCTGCAGAGCTCAGTTCCTATTTCCCTGCTGCGAGTGAGCAGAGGGGACAAACAGCAAGTATGACGCAGCAGAGACTGTGGCGGGGCCACATCACCACTCACACGCTCCAGTGGTCACGTGTGTGATGAGGCCCATGAGCCTGGCTTGTGGATGATGACAGGAAGGTGCGTGTCCTACATCACTACACCTGTGTTTCCTTCGAGGGAGAAGGGATCATCCTCTTGGTCCTTCCAGGAGTGTGTCCCCCAGAAAGCAGAGTTTAGAATCCAAAACAGGTCAGGCACCAGCACTGCCTGCTGCTGCACAGGCCTGGGGCTTGGCGTCATGGGGACGCTCTCTGAGGATAGGCGCTGGGGGCGAGGGTGCCCAGGTGGGACCCTTTTGTCCTCAGGAGCCCACAGGTAACTGCACAGATCTGAACACAAACGGGACCAGGAGCAGGGTGCCAGGTGAGGGGCCCATACACCTGGCGCTGGCCCCATCCCTCCAGGGCTTGCAGCTCCTGCAGCTGCAGACCCTCAGCAGTGACCAGGGAATCTGAAGGCCAGTGCTCTCCTGGTGGCTGTCCTTGAGGCCACACCCCACCCCTGGCTCAAGACTCTGACTGTCCTGCTGTTGAAAAAATTCCAACTGCTTGCTTTTCTCTTCTCGGTCTATCGTCCAGAACCCACCTGTCTTACTAACTGCCCCGTGGGGACTCTAGCCCTGCCCGCCTCACGCTGTAAGTGCCTCTGCCCGCACCCTGGTGCCCGGACTGTCCTGTGTGTATCTCACACCATTGTCATCACTGGGGGTCCACTCCACGCTCATCCCAGGCCTGCCAGCACCCATCTGTGCCACTCAGGGTGGCTGTTCAGTGAGGGTTCTAGGGTGACAAGAGGCACCCGGGGTGCTTTCCGAGGAGGAGGAGGCAGCTAGGCAGGGGCGGCTCAGGCCAGGAGTTCGGGTCCATCCAGCCCCAGAGTCCCAGCCGCCCACCTGCTGGCCACACTGCAGCCACAGACACATGTTGCTGCTTACTGGAACAAGACGTGACTGTGATGTGAGGTCTGCTCGTTGTTTCAGTCACGCCAGAAAGAGTAACCCCAAGAATAGCTGCTCCTTTCCAGTGAGACTGGAAGTGACAGTGCGGGGCGTGATGGCTCTGAGCAAGTGAGCGGCAGGGCTTCCTGTGGAGCCCGATGAGGCCGGGAGGGCGGACAGTGGGGGCCTTGGATGCGGGTGGGGTCACCCTACCTTCGTCCTCAGGCTTGGCGCCAGGCCCAAAGGGCAGCTGGAAGTCAGGGTTAAGGGCGTGGCCCCAGGGAAGGGCAATGGCTCTGCACCCCAGGATGCCAGCCCTTCTTCCTGCCCAGGTTGGCACTGGCTTGTACATGGCAGGTGTGGGTAGGTACTGTTGAGGAGGAGGTAGGTGTGTCTTGGAATGTCCCACAGCGGCAGGCAGCACACAGCACACACCTGTGTGCACCCCATGCAACATACCCAGCAGTCACTGTGCTGGTCACAGCAGAGCACAGTGGTGGCTGATGTCCCAAACCAGTGTCCCACACTGTGAGCCATGGTGGTGAGGCAAGGACAGCCGTGGCTTTGCTTGTGACTCAGTGGCACTGGGGCGAGGAGAGATGTGGCCTGGGAGTCATCGTTCCTTCAACCTGGGTGCTGCCCCCTGAGGCCCTGTGCAGATGCCCAGTGACATCCACAAAGGAACAGAGAACTGAAATACCACCCCGCTTCCCTTCCCATCCCCATCCATGTCCCCTGCCCTAGGCCTGTGCCATCTCCCCATGAGGCTCCATCCTTCTGGCTCCTCCCCTTCCCTCTGGTGCCCCAGACCATTTGCGGCATCCCATCCCCGGTACCCTCAGACCCAGTTCTGTGCTGGGCCTCTCCGTCTGGTGTCCCCTCCACCCCATCAGCTCTGGGGTGACCCCCACTCGTCTATGGGCCACAGCCTTCTGCATTTGTGTGTGTCGCCAGCTTCTGAGCATGTATGTTCTTGTCTCCTAACACACGAGCTCAGGACAGGTAGCTGAGTGTTCTGCAAAACAAGACAGGCCTTGAGAGTGGGCCCCCTGGTGGCTCACGCAATGACCAGTCTCGGAAAGTTAGGGTTCCCTGGACACAAGTGACAGTGACTCCAGCTACAGCTCTTGACCACACACTGCCCTGAAGACAGTAAGCCCACGGGGCTGCAGTCTCCCCACAGTGCTCTGCTAGCCGTGAGGGTCTGCTTAGCTGCTACCAGTAGCAGAGCTGGCTTTGGGGTGAACTGGTTGCTGGCCCTGGTGCTTGGTGGCCCCGGTAGACCCCAGTAGCTCTGGAGGAGAGCGGCTCTGCATAGCCAGTGGGGCCAGGGTGGGGCTGGCAGGGTGGCAGTGGTGCCTGTCTCTGAGGAGACCCATCCCCCACTGGCCACCGTCCAGCTCAGCTTGCTGTCTGCTCATGTGTCACCCATCACCCGTGCTGTGCTCCTGCTTGGTCATTTTACCTTGTTCTCCATGAGCGTGACACTCGCCCACGTTCCCATGTGCCTCGGTGGCCCGTGGTCCCTCCCTTCTGTCGTGGTGTCACAGACAGCCGCTAACAGCTCTCTCCCTTCTCGGCCCAAGGAACTGCCTTGTTCCGCACTCGCCCCGTCCCTAGAGCCCTGCTTCTCCAGGCCTGAGAGACCAGCCAACCGTCGCCTGCCATCCCGGTGGGCTCCTCCCATCCCCACTGCCTCAGGGTCTCGGTCACCCGGGCCCCCTGCATCCCTGGAGGAGCACGGTGAGGAGGACACCCCTGAGGAGAAGCCACACCTGTGATGCCAGCCTGCACGGACCATGGAGCCACGCGCCGCACCGTCGTCCAGGCCCCGGAGGAGAGAGGGTGTTTCCCAGGGTCCAAGGACACTTCCACAACACCTGGCTGGGAGTGTCCTGCCCGTGACACCAAGATGTTTCTAGAATGGAACAGTAAATGTGCCTGTAATAACTAACTTCTTTTCATAGCTCAGAAAACTATTTTTGTCTCCATCTTTTTTACACACAGTGTATTAAACAAAACGAACAGGTAAATAAGGTTATAAACAGATTCCAAATGGAAAAGCTTTCAAGTGTACCTTGGAAGGGGTCTGTCCCCTGCTCCCACCCGGAGGCCTCTGTTACACCCCGCCCATCCCTTCGGGTCGGGCTTCTGTCCACGCTGGATGTAGAGTGTTTTTATGTTAACTTTATTTTGTCTGCGTTGAATTTTTTAAAATGCTTTGGACTGTCTGCTTCAGTGATCTTTTCGTGGTGAAGGCCGGATTCAACAGCCTCTCCGAGGCGGGGGAGGCGGGTTCCAGTTCAGGGAGGGACAGAGGCCTGATTCAGTTCCAAACCTGTGGTGCAGCCCGCACCCCACGCCTGGCCTGCGTCCAGCTGCATGAAACCCCGCTGTCCCCCACTTGCCCACTCCTGCTGTCTGTCTGGCCCCCTGTGATCATCCTGAAGTCCTCGTGGTGTTCCATTATGGTTGGTCCCTTGCAATGATGCGACTACAGCAATCTTTTTAAATTATTGTTCACAGATTACCCTGCAATGTGCGCATCCCCGAAGAACTGTGTGTAGGGGAACACTGCAGGGAGGCGTGAGGGGGTCTCGGGGTCAGCCTTGGGCCGCGAGAAGTGGAATAAAGCCTTTACCAGGTGGTAGTGTGGCCCCATGTGTGTCTCACTTCCCATGGCCTCTCCAACCCTCTGGGCTCCAGACGGGTTCCATCCCCCAGCTGGGCAGGAAGGGACGAGTGGTGGTGTTATGGGGAGGAGCTAGTCACAACACACTCAGGACAGCACTGCATTGCCATCTGCCTGGCCCCGAGAGGCCCTGGGACAGAGAGCGGCTTTGTTCCCGCAGCAAGTATCAGGCTAAGGAGGGACAGGCTGCTGCAGGGACACTGGTCACAGGTCCCAGGCAGCCACTGCCTGTGCCCTGGGAGTGAGGCCGGGCCCTTAACTGAGAAGAGGCTGCTGCTGCCACCCCACCCGTGGATACCAGTGGTGGTAGGCTTTCTGGGGGTTTCTCTAACCCTCATTCCCTGCTCTTTGTTTAGTTTTGAGACAAAGTCATCAGAGTCACTGAGTTACCCACATAGCCAGAACCTGCGATCCTCCTGCTTCAGCCTCCCAGAGTGCTGCCTTTGCAGGCGTGCCCCACTGCCCCTGGCAAGGAGTAGGGTTTACCAAGACGCCTGCTGCTGAGGAGGTGGAGAGCCAGCTTGGCCCGCCCCAGCTGCACTGTTTCACTGACCCCACTCTTCCCTCCTCACCTGAGTGAGCCCACGCATGGGGCCAGGTCCAGCCCGGCCTCACCCCAGTTGCTCCTTTCAGTGAAAGTTTTTAAAGCTCAGGCGTGAGGGCAGGGGGAGCAGGGACCCTGTTGGAGCTGTAAGACAATGAATCCCCGGGGCCTCAGGGTGCTGCTCTTCACATGGTCATACAGAGTCACCAGGAGACACGGCGTCCACTGCAGGTGCAAAGAAGAAAGGAGACCCAGCCAGGTGTTTGCACACCAGTGCTCAGAGCCATCTCGTTCAAAATGGCCAGAAAGGGGAGACAGCCACGCTCACCCCCAGGTGAGGTGGCCCACACACACAGTGGAGTATTACTGGGCCTGGGAGAGGAGGGAAAGCACGGGTGTCGTAGCGGTGCATGTACTACCATGTGGCACGTGGGTAGTGAGACAGACTGGAAGTGGGGTGCGGTTGGCAGGGCCACAGGCAGGGCGGTGCTGCTCCGTGTGCAGTGGGCACGGAGCTCCGGTTCCGGGTGAAGGAAAGTCCTGGGGGGCGGGGGGCGCCCAGTGGTGTGAACACTCCAGTGCCGCCCGGCTGGATGCCTGGAAATGGCTCCAGCAGCAAATGCTGTGCAGATCTGACCACGGGGAAAGCTTTTTGGTGTAAACCCTCACTTGACCCCACCGCGCAGGATGCAGCACAGGCAGGCAGCGAGTCCAGTTTGAGGGGCCAGTGGAGTTCAACCGTGCAGCACATGCTCCGGGTGCTGGCAGCCCCGGGTCTGACCCCAGGGCTGTGGCAGATGTGAAGAGAATGGGTTTTGCACTCCTTTGTGCCCAGGCATGGCGGTCGGCTGGAGGGAGGTCGTTGGCCCTCATGCTTGAGAGCCTCAGACTGTGCAGCTGGAGTCCCCACTGCATTCCATGCTCAGACCAGCACCCGGGGTGGTGGTGCGGCCCTGTGTGCCCCATGATTTCGGGGATGTCCTCTCCGGGAGCCCACAGAAGCCAGCAGAGCCTGAAGGAAATCTCCCACTGGGCTTGTGCCAGTCACAGTGACCAGGCCCTGCAGAGGGAGTCGGACCAGTCATTAGAGCAGAGGGGAAGCAGACACTTGGAGGCCAGCAAGGGGGCAGGTCACTGCAGGACACCCCCAAACTATCTCCTCTTCGGGGCTCAGGATTACTCCACAATTGTTCCCAGGAGTTTTTTGCTGTTTTTTCAAGGTGAATGCTTTAACTCCTATGCTATCGTTGGTCATTTCATAAAGATCAGCACTTGCTCTTTTAATATGGAGGAGTGGAACCAGGGATTGAACCCACGGCCCTCAAACTGAGCTACATCCACAGCTTTGTTAAATTTTTTATTTCAAGACAAGGTCTCCCCAAGTTGCCCAGGTGGTGCTTGAGCTTGCAGTCCTCCTGCCTCGGTCTCCCACAGTGCTGGGATTACAGGCGTGTGCCGATGTATCCAGTTGATTTTTACATTAATAAGGAAACAACTGAGGCCCCTGGGGGTGGGATCAACAAGGCTGCATGGCACAATCTGAGACGAGGAGGCACTGACTCTTCCTTCCAGGAGCTTGAGAGAAGCAGCCAGTACCAGGACAAACCTTTCTGACTTCTGGCAGGTTAGCAAACCTGCCCAGGACTCCGGGAATCCTCTCAAAGCTTCAGCACCGACAGCGATCCCAGGGTGAACTCATCTCTCAGCAGAGGCTTCAGCCTTGTTAGCAGCCCTGCCCACTGTGGTCACCTCAGATACCGTTTAAAATCCCTTAACAGAGACTGAGTTAATGAGGCTCCATCGGGGACACCTGAAACAGCTCCTGTAGTTCTGAATCCTAGGATTCTGGAGTGGGAAGAAGCAGTCATCTAAAATGGATTACATGGTTTTGTCACCCAGTTAGGGGAGTTCACCCCAGATAACCCCAATAAAATCAGCCATTCATGCAGCAGGGCACAGGAGTGTCTGGCCATGAGCTCCTCGAGTGCTGGTGCTCGCCAGGTGGACTGATACATGCAACACCGTTTAGGTGTCCAGAGGCTGTCAGAAGCGCCTGAGCTCAGCACATGTCCACCTGCCTGGGTCAGTGCCTACCCAGGTCCTCCCTGGCACGAGTGTGCGGTGTGCAGAGTAGAAATAAAGAGCATGCTCACCTGTAGGGGAGCACAGAGGTTTAGGGCTGGGTAAGCCCTGAGTGTGGTCCTGCGACAAGGCCCGCTAAACACTATGACAGCAGGGACACGGGAGGTCCTGGTGCAGCACGTGAGTGCCATCCAGCTGTCTGCTGATACACAGGGCACCGTTCCAGCCTGCAGGACGTAGGAAGAGGGTGCACAGCGTGGAGAGAGTTTTGGGCTGTTCTGGAGGAAAGGAAGTGGGGAGAAGACATCACCCAAAGCAGGCAGTGGGAGGTGCCCGGTGTGCACCTGTGGGGCTCCCAAGAAGATTCAAAATTACCCGACCTTTTTGGCCATTGGGCCCGTCTTTTTATCAAATGTGACTGACACCGTGCTCATCTTGGTTACAAAGATAAGTGGGGAGAAGCCCACGCATGCTGATACTGCAGCCTGCCTTCCACATCGGCAACGCAGCGCTGCGCCTTAGTGAGGTGACCTCAAAATCTAAAATATAAACATGGCGGGGGGGGTGGGAGTTTGGCTCAGCAACATAAGTGCTGTCTGGCAAGTGTAGCTCGTGAGTTCAATCCCCGGTACCAAAACAAGGTAAAACACAAAACATGCGGGTACGCAGTTCAGTGCAAAGGCCCTGGGTTCAGTCCCCGGTACCACCAAAGGAAAAGTGGACCTTCTGTGACTGTGTGGAAAGCGTCACCTGTCACCTAGTTCATAAAAGATGCCCCCCCACATCTTTGTTGGCTGAGTCTGCCTCCAGACAGGCATTTCTGTGGGCAAAGCCACTCTTCCTCTTGGCCACCGAAGGGCCCGCATCACCATGACCTTGTTCAAGGCCCCTGACACCAATGAGGTCGCTCCCAGCCCGTAACTGGCTACAGCAAAAGCTCACACACCCAGACAGGCACCTCTTCCCCAGGAACACCATGTCCTTGAAAGTCAAGTCCACATTAAACTGAATTCCTGGGTTCTCTAAAGCTCTTGTCTAAATTTACCCTGACCCACTTAGGGTCATGTCGGGACACTGCACTCAGGACACAGGAGCCCTGGAAGGTTCAGTGGCCAGGGGCCACATTCACCTGCCACCCCAGGTCAGGGTGGGCAGCTGAAGTGGTCCAACAGCCACAGCCACAGCGAGGCTGCTGTGGACGTCCAGGTGCAGCATCCTCGCAGGAGGTGCTAGGACAGGGAAGCCCCTCCTTGCCTAGCAACCCTACCAGTGTCACTCCGGAGCATCCAGAGAGATGTAAGCACAGAACCCTGGGCTTCCACACAGGTGAGATGGGCTCTGACTCAGCTCCAGACAGTCAGGGAAATGCATGGATGGGGAAGTGCGTCAGAAGGCTCCACCTCTGCCTCCACCTCGGCACCCGGCACCCAGTGTCCCTCTCCCCTAGGCGGGAGCCCGGCATGCTGCAGCAGGGCAGTGGTGACCCCAGCAGGCCGCTGGGCCCTGGCCAAGGGAGGCCCAGTTCTGCTGACAGCTTCCACTGGCCTCACCCTGTGCTTCACAGGAGTTGGAGGTCAAGGGTTCTGCCCACCCCTGGGGCCTGAATATGTGAAGTTGGGTTCCCCAGGCACGTGGTGTACAGGACCCCACAAAGCAGAGGATGTGGTCCTATAGCTTCATCGTGCTCTGAGAAAAGTCCATGGGCCCTTGTGGGTGCTGGTTGGATCCAATATTAACTTCAAGCCTCCTCTCATTCTTTTTTTGGTGGGGGAGGAGTGTGTTAAAAGAAGAAATATGTAAAAAAGAAAAGTCCTGTCGTTTTTGGCAGCAGGGAGGAACCCAAAAATCCTGCACCACCTCACTTATGCACGGAAGAGGGAATCAGATGGCTATTAGCAGGGCTGGGGGAAGAGTTGGGAGGCTGTGGGTCAAAGGGTGATTGTGAGCCAGGAGGACTCGGTGCAGGGTGCACATTGTGTGTGCAGTCTGGTGATTTTAGTTAAGAAGGTGTTGTGTGACATGAAATCATTGAGGCAGTAGATTTTAAAAGTTCTCACCACATGAAAACAAGCCATGGTAAGTAAGAGCCAGTTAATTAGTCCATGTAGCCATTCCACTGTGTGTGTGTGTGTGTGTGTGTGTGTGTGTGAGAGAGAAAGAGAGAGAGAGAGAGAGAGAGAGAGAGAGGGAGAGATGTACAACATAATCATTTTTTTTACTTGCCAATTATAAATTTAAAGTGGATGAAATACAAGGAATATGGCCCAAGCCGAGTACCCTCAGAGACTTGGCACCCATCACGAACACACACAGGGCACCATCGTGCTGGCTA